TAAGCTCAAAAGACACCCACATAGGGGCGCCTGGGTGGCTCAGTTGGTTAAGCGTCTGCCTTCGGCTCAGGTCATGATCGCGGGGTCCTGGGATTGAGTCCGGATAGGGGCCTCCTTGCTCAGCGGGAAGCCTGCTTCTCCCTCTCCCTCTGCCTGCCTCTCTGTCTACTTGTTCTCTCTCTATCTCTCTGTCAAATAAAAAAATAAAACCTTAAAAAATAAGACACCCACATGCCCTGTACTATTTCTCATGATCCCTGACGTAGTAGAGCACCCACCACGTGTGCGTCAAAGATGAGGGATGAGGGAGCTGAGACGCAGGGAGGAGTTACTTGCCAGCGTCAGAGCCGCTGGCGAAACTCGAGTTCCACTCTTGACTCTTATTCCGTTTTCTTTTTTTAAAGTTAATTGATTTAAAAGATTATTTATTTGGCAGAGAGAGAGCGCGAGAGCACAAGCAGCGGGAGAAGCAGGCACCCCCGCCGAGCAGGGAGCCCGGACTCGGAACTCGATCCCAGGACCCCGAGATCACGACCTGAGCCGAAGGCAGACGCTTAACCGGCCGAGCCACCCGGGCGCCCCAGAGTCTTTCTCTGTTTTAATAACTACAGTGTAACCTGTACGTTTTGAGATTAAAATCTCTAGTTGGTGCTGGTTTTAAATTGTACGGCACTATTCGGGGCACGTGGGTGGCTCAGCCGTTAAGTGTCTGCCTTTGGCTCAGGTCATATCCTAACAGAATAATCTCATCAAAGGTCATTCAGTTATTCTTCAGCCAAAAAGCTTCCTTCTTAGACCTAAAAATACTCATAGCAAGTCTCGAAGGGGTTGACCTGCAGTAGAATGTATCTTCAAATAGTCCTGATTTATAGGTTACAAATAGATGATTTTCACATTAATTTGATCCTCTTGGTATTTATCACTGAGCTCAGAGAGGCAGAATGTTTTCTACAGGGTCTCACAGCTTGGTGAGTCTTGGTGTGGGTTTGACACCAAGTAGCCATGGCCCTTCCTGCTATTCCAACTGTTCCCAGTCATGTAAAGACTGGATGAGATGAAAATGTTCATAAAACCTTCTACCATCTCTTTTCCCCTTATAAGTCACCATGTTCAGCTTAAGGAGGAGAAAAACTATTTGGTTATCCGTTGCCTCTCTGTTTTGTTACCATATTTTTCTATCCTGATAGAATCTGAGGCCTTCTAAGAAGTCATAGCTTAAACTCTATTTTGTTGCTGCGTTTTGTTGAAGCTTTAAGTGAACACTGAGCCTTCATTGAAAAGCTGATCTTGAGGATCCTGGGATCTGGGAGAAAGCTTTGAAGTCATTTTTCGAGCATCCCTTTAAAAAAGTCTCCCGTCCCCTGCCAAATTCAGGTACTCAGTATTTTTGAAAGAGTATGGTTTTTATTATTTCCCACATGTCTTCCTATCCACATACATCAAGGCTTGGCTCAAATGCTCTCTCCTTAGGAGATCCCTCCCGTAGCTGTTCCTTAACGCTTATTACATTCTGTGTTTAGATCGATGTTAATCCTCTACTGAGAACAGGGGCTGCACCTCAATCGGCTTTCTCCTCCCAGCGGTGCTGAGCCAGTGCTCCGAGCACAGAGAAGCACCTGCTGCTCTCCATGGAATTGCCTGTCCTCAGCCAGTCCCTCAGGAGCTTCCAACATCACAGAACTAGGGACTTCACAACAATTATGCAACCCTAGAAGTGCTTTACAAGAATGAGTTCCAACATTATTTATGTTTCAAAGTTTATAATTAGCAGTTACAAATCTGCCAGTGCAGAGGCCTGTGATCACAGAACTAAATTATCTCTGCTTTCACTTTGAAACTGAAGTACAGTAAGGAACCCATTTGCAGCTTGGTGTTTTGCATTTTGCCTCTTTCCCATCTGGCCCCTGCCCACACTAGATGCTGAAGCTCCTGACTCATCTTTTTATTTGTATGGTACAGAAATCTGTTTTTCCTAAAATGATGTCACATGGACGATTCCCAAGTAGTTTTCAGAACTGTCTACATGGGCTGATTTTGCATCAGTCAGAGAAAGAAATCGTGTGTTTTTGCAGGAACATTCAGTTCATTAGGGCTGGAAAGCTGATGTCCCAAGGACCCTTCTAACGGGCTTTGCATTTTCTCCCTCAGTGTCAGTGGCATATAAGGAAGTACATACTGGTACCGAAGACGTACGACAGCCAAAGCTTCTGGCTGAAGAAATACTGGTCTAGGAGAGGTAGCCCAAGCAGTGATTTTTTTTTTTTCCTTCAGTATTCTGTGGGAAAGAAACCACCGCATTCAGTGGAGTGTAGGAGCCAGTCAATGAGCAGTAGAGAAGCCAGGTTCAAAACCAGCTTCAAAACCAGCCTCTTTCCCTTCTAGGCTTCATTTTCCACATCTTTAAAACAGGGGACAGAAGTTAGATTATTAATAGAGTTCTTCCTTAAACATTTTATTTTTCCTCCTCTTAACAGAAATGCTAATATGCTCTCAAAATAACTTTATGAAAACATTCTTAATTTCCATCATTATGAACATATAAAGGGGATTTGTTCTCCGGGGGGCGACCTTACGCAGCTGTAGGAAGCGGTGAAGCAGTCTCTGGAAGGCACATTCTCTGTCTCAGTACATTACAAAGTACCACAGTGGCTGTCGCAGGATGGTGGGATTCCAGATGGATGACCTTTCCTTCATATTTTTCCATGTTCTACTTCTTCACAATGAACATGTATTATTTATATAATCTGAAAAAATATAAAGCTGCTCTCCGGGGGGGAAAAATCTTCCTTTACTAAAAGGAATGATAAGGATTGGAGGTTCACTGTTAAGAATTAAGAGAGAAGATGCCATATATTATATAGGTGAACACCATAGCTCTTATCTGAAACAAGTATTTCAAAGATGCCCATGTTTTAATTTCTCTTTTGCCACTAAACAGTTGTTGACACTGGCTGAAGCCCTAAAGATCGAGAGGAAGAATGAAGTACTAGGAAAAACAGCTTCTCAGTCACTGATGTCTTCAGTGCAGGAAAGGGACCTGCGAGCTACAGGGTCCTCTAAGAGGAGCTGCTGTAGATGATGTAACGGACAGAAGCATCAGAGTCTGGCTTTCAGGGACTTGCTCTCCCTTCAGGCACCGAAATCCTTTCCCATAGTGTATAGAAGATTCTGCCGTGTTGACAGACCGTAAACACACTGAGATTAAGGAGAAACTAATAAGCACATTTTAACGCTTGTGTAGTTTGCTAAGGTTTAGACGGAGTGCTCCAGAACAGGACAAGCTGGGTGGCATCGTACGTGTCACCTAGAGCCACGAGTTTCTATTTTCCCAGCTTGGCATATGTGATGGTTTCACCTGCCTGGCACTTTCTCCTGGGCCCTCCACTTCCAGTTAATGCCACTGACGGGTTCATTAGAACCTTACCCCTCTCTCTCCCAATCATGAAAACACACCAGAAAGCAAGTGAGTGAAAGTCATATTGTAGGGATGACCTTCATTCAGTCTGTAGCAACTGAAAAGAAAAGGCAAGCTTTGAAATGTAAGCCATTGGTTATAAAGTAGTTGTAACCCGTGAGTGTTATACCATGGTGAAAAAACTGTGGTCTCCAAAATAGTATGCATGTACACTGGCCCAGTACCGTGTGGGCGTGGGAAGACACCATTAGAACACTAGCTCTAGGTGCTTCTTTCTCATCTCAGCTGGGAAAAAGATGTGTTTTGTAACAATACTGAATATTAGTGCATGTGAAAAATTTCTAGACAGATATCCATATAACGGGTATAAATGCTAAAACATTTTTTACTGACTGGGGTGCAAAATTAAACAAATTTTAAAACCATCAACCTAAAAGAAAGTGAACTTCATTCTCTCATTTAAGGTCAACTTTAGAATAGAGTCAATACTCAAAGTGTTACGAGATTAACGAAGATAAAAGCCCAATGCTTTTGCTCTTGATTAATGAAACGCCCAATAAAAGCTATGGTAGCAGCTAGTAATACGTGTAAAAAAGAGAGGAAACGAGAAGACAAGAATGGAATGAGAATAGCGTCTTTCAGCTAGAGATGCAGTGACCCCGATGCCCACTTGGCACACCCACATGGACACGTGGTACTTCTCATGTGACCCCCACGATGGTCCAGGGGAAAAGAATGTAACAGAGTGCACAGCCTCTTGGCATTTTGATGGGGCCTTTAGCCTTTGTCCTTTTTTTTTTTTTTTTTTTAGATTTTATTTATTTATTCATGAGAGACAGAGAGAGAGAGAGAGAAGCAGGCTCCCAAGGAGCAGGGAGCCCGATGCGGGACTCGATCCCAGGACCCCGGGATCATGACCTGAGCCGAAGGCAGACGCCCAACCGTCTGAGCCACCCAGGCGCCCCAGCCTTTGTCCTTTTAAAGAAAAAAAGGCAACAAATTTTATAGTCGATCCTAGAGTGTTTAGGAAAAGGAAAGACGCATGAGGCCAGAATCCCAACTCCAGGATGGAAAGGCAGCAGCCCCGGGAGCCACTACACAGGGCACAAGCAGCCCTCTCCTCTGCCATCCAGAAGCCTCCCGAGGCGGGGGCCGTGTGCTTCGGGCCAGGCCCGCGTTTACCAAGGCAGGAACACCGTCATCTAAGTCTACACTGTCCTAGGAGAGTCAGTGAAACAAAGCCATAAGCAGTGGGAGGAAGTATCATGAGCCCAGCAAGAAGAGGCTAGAAGTTTCTGCAATGTTCTAAACCAGTGCGATTAGGAAGGGCAGAATCGGCCTTGCGTATTAAAAAAAACACTGGAGGGGCGCCTGAGTGGCTCAGTCGTTGGGCGTCTGCCTTCGGCTCAGGTCATGATCACAGGGTCCTGGGATCGAGCCCCGCATTGGGCTCCCTGCTCCGCAGGAGGCCTGCTTCTCCCTCTCCCACTCCCCCTGCTTGTGTTCCCTCTCTCGCTGTGTCTCTCTCTGTCAAATAAATAATAAAATCTTTAAAAAACAAACAAAAAAACACTGGAAACATGGATAGACCTTGAAGATTTTATGCTCGGTGAAATAAGCCAGTTGCAGAAGGACGAATATTGTATTGTTCCACTTCTGTGAACACAGAGACAGAAAGAAAGTGGAATGGGGGCTGCCAGGGGCTGGGGGAGGGGGGCTACGCTTTCACGGGGACAGAGCTTCAGTCCGGGAAGATGGAAAGGTTCTGGAGGTGGATGGTGGTGACGGGTGCACAACCATGTGAATGTACTGAATGTCACTGAAGTGTGTACATTTAAAAATGGTTAAAATGGTACACTTGATGTTGTGTATATTTTACCACACAGAAAAACTTTTAAAAAATCACTAAGGAAGATCATATGGAAAATGAAAAACTCAATGTTAAAATAAAAAAAAAAAGACAAGCCTTTTTTTTTAATCAAGAGAGAAGTACCTGGCTCCAAGCTCAAGGTCTAGATTGAGGACAGTGATGATGAGTCCTACCACACACAGATTTTAAGGACACCGTCACACAGGTCACCTTGTGGCTCCTGCATGCTTCCCAGTCCCGAGGGTCTCTTTCCTTCAGCTTTGCCCAGCCCTGTCATTCATAATAGACAAATGAGAAGTCCCAGAAACCGGTTCTATTTGGGAAGGCTTTCTTTTGTTCGAGGCTTCGGTGGTTAATATGCTTGACAAATTTCAGAGTCTCTCTGTCTCTGTAGACCAGTGCCAGAGAGTTGTTTTCTGGATTCACTGTTAGCAGCTGAAATAAGCCAATACAATGACACATTAGAACACCGAACTTATTCTCAACTCTTTTCTTCAATGATTCACCACTGAACAGATGGTTTTCACATCATGTACTTAGACTGGCGATAGGAATCTTTTAAAAGATCCTTTACTAGGAGGAGCTATTGCTCTGGCTGTCAAGGCATTTTCCAGTGAGCCCCATTCCAACACATACCCAGAACGATTTTACCCAGTGCATGTATTTCTTACTATACTGAAAGATTTCATGGGAATGCACCATGTAACTCTTAGCTTACATGGAATTTCTCAGTAGGGTAGAAGCAATGCTTACTGATTATCCTGTGGCATCTTTATTCCCTGCCAAGTACTTTCTACTAGAAATTAGAACCACTGCCAGGCAGACCATCATGGATTTATCAGCTAAAGACACTGGCAGAAGGTCATAAAAATTGGGTTTCTGAAGAATAAAAGCTTCCTCAAGAACTAAAAAGGGCAGTTTGCTGTCAGATGCAACTTACCTCTTCATCTTCACCTTTGGCAATGTAGGAAGTAAAGCCACCATATTCTGGCTCCCAGCCTTACAAAGGGAAAACAAACAGCATTCAGAAATTTTTCACTGCAAGAGTTCCATCCTCTGCTTCCATTGCCAATCCCATGCTGCTTAAAGCTGGGGGCTCTGGGAGCTCCGTAGTAACCAACTCTATGACTTATGAGCTTGAATTTACCATTCAATCCACACTGAGTAAGAAATGAAAACTAAGAATTGAATATAAAACGCACCTGGAAGGACAATTACATAAACGATGTGGATCTGGGGGGTTATTTGGAGGGAAATTATGGTTTGGTCCACATCCCCCCATACCTTGGTCAGATATAAATCCTTTGGGTTGGGAGACTGAAGTTCATGACCCCCAAGATCCCCTCCAACAGAAAGCTTCTATGATCTGGGATCCTGGCCAAGGCACATCACTTCTGAATTGGTCAGCTGGAGGGGGTCACCAGGAGACTGCCCCTCTCAAGGTAACAGTGCATTGTCCTTTCTACCCTCTTACCTTCACAGCCACAGTAGAGGAGTAAGTCTAGGGCAAATTCAGTCTTGCTGTTGTCATGGATCAAAGTGTAGTGACCAGTCTTCCAACGCCTCAGTTCTCCCTGGCATGTGGGAACATTTGAGTCTAAGAAGAAACAACAGAAGGCCAGAAAAAACTTAAAATAACTCTGATACAGGGATGCCTTGGTGGCTCAGTCAGTTCAGCGTCTGACTCTTGATCTCAGCTCAGGTCTCGATCTCAGGGTCGTGAGTTCAAGCCCCGTGTTGGGTTCCATGCTGGGTGTGAAGCCTGCTTAAGAAAATAAATAACTTTGATACAACTGCTAGTGTGCAAGGGAATAATAAGTAGGAATGGTCCAGCACTAAAGGGAAACCATTCCCATAAACCTTCTGACCTACTGCTCCACCAAACCAGCCTTACTTACAGTGACTGTCAGAAATGTACCATGTACTATTTGGTGGGGCAGGGGGACTTGATGTTCTATTTCTTTTTTTACAAGAAATTTTAGATGGAATATACATTTAGCTGCCAAAATAAAAAATTATAATATGAATAAATATAATTATTTTAATATATATTATATATAATATATATGTATATAATTATAATATTTATTCATATTATAATTTTAAATAGATTCCCCCTGCCATCTGCCTGTATCTCCTATTATTAATGTTTTATCTTAGTGTGATTCACTTGTTACAACTGACAAACCAATACTCATACATTATTATTGCCTAAAGTCCATAGTTGACATTAGGGTCCACTCCTTGTGCTATACGTTCTATGGGTCTTGATCAATGCATAATGTTGGGTGTCCATCATTACCGTATCATACAGAATTGGTTTTAATGCCCTAAAGAAGCTCTGTGCTCCACCTAATTCATCCCTTCCTTCCTCCTAATCCCTTCCAACCACTGATTTTACTCTCTCCTTAGTTCTGCCTTTTCCAGAATGTCATAGTGTTGGAATCATACAATAAATAGCCTTTTCAGACTGGCTTCTTTCACTCAGCAATATGCACTTAAGGTTCCTCCATGTCTTTTCATGGAGGATGATCGCTTGTTTCTTTTTAACTTCATCCTGTTGTGGTTAGAGAAGCTACTTTGTATGATATCTTTTATTTTTTACTTTTCTAAAGATTTTATTTTTAAATAATCTCTAGACCCAACGTAGGGCTTGAACTTAAAACCCAAGATCAAGAGTCACACACTCCACCGACTGAGCCAGCCAGGTGCCCCGGTATCTAGCTTTTAAAATCTACTGAGACTAAATTTGTGGCCTAACTTATCGTCTGTCGTGGAAAATGTCCCATGTTCACTTGAGAAGAATGTATATGCTGCTGTTGGTGGGTAGAATGCTCTGTATTACACCTGTTACATCTAGCTGGTTTTATTGGGTTAAGTCCTCTCGGGCGCTGACCTCTCCCAACTACTGCTGTAGAATTGTCTGATTTCTTCCTTCAATTCTGTCAGTTTTTGCTTCATAAAATTTCAGTCTGTCATCAGGTGCATAAAGATTTGTAACTGTTGTATCTTCCTGCTGTACTGAATTTTTACAAATATAGAATGTCCTTCTTTGTCTCTTCTAATCTTTCTTGAGTTACGATCTATTTTGTTTGGGTGCCTGGCTGGCTCAATCGGGAGAGCATGCAACTCTTGATCTCAGGGCCATGAGTTTGAGCCCCATGTTGGGCATGGAGCCTTAATTAATAAATAAATAAAAATAAATAAATAAATAAATAAATAAATAAATAAATAAATAGTCTACTTTGTTTGATATTCGTAGAGCCACTCCTGCTCTCTTCTGGTTACTATTCGCATGGAACATCTTTCTCCATGCTTTTATTCTCAATCTGTTTGTGTCTCTGGATCTCGAGTGAGTGTTTTGTAGATAGCAGATAGTTGAATCCTGTGTTCCTGTCTATTCTGCCAATCTCTGTCTTTTGATTGTCATTTACATTTAAGGTAATTACTAGGAAAGAGGGGCTTAATTCTGTCACTTTGCTATTTGTTTTCTAAATGCCTTATAGCTTTTTTTGTCCCTGCATTACAGTCTTTTGTGTTTTTTGGTATTGAAATGTTTAAATTCTTTTCTCATTTTCTTCTACGTATATCCTATAGCTACTTTCTTTGTTGGTACCATGTGGGTTACATTTAACATCTTGAAGTTATAAAACCTCTCATTCGAGTTCATGCCAGCTTAACTTTAATAAAATAGGAAAATTCTGCTCCTTCACGGCTTTGTCCCCACCATTTTCTTTAAGATGACGAACTTTACAGTTACTTTTCACATTTATCTCTGTATTCCCACCTGCTTTGGCCCAGGGCCTTGCATACAGTAGATGCTCAGTAATAAAGCATCCTTTGGCTGCCTGTATAGATTTTTTCCAAGGTCCAGGTTCCCATGAAAATGAAACCAAAAAGGAATAGAGATAAGTAAGCACTTTTTTTTTTTTTTTAAGGTTTTATTTATTTATTTGACAGAGAGCTCAAGTAGGGGGAAAGGGAGAAGAAGGCTCCTTACTGAGCAGGGAGCCCGATGTGGGACTTGATCCCGGTATTCCGGGATCATGATCTGAGCCAAAGTCGCTTCACTGACTGAGCCACCCAGGCACCCCAACAGATACTTTTTTAAAAAAGCCCATGAGGCCCCACTGATCTTCACCTCATTCTTTTTAGGGCCCAGGTATGGAAGCCAGTATCAATTATCAAGGAAAGCCAACCTTTATCTTAAAGAAAGGCTATCCTGTGTATTGACTAGCACAGAAAAAGCCACCTGGCTCTGGTTGTTCTAAATCCGTGGTGACCAAAGCGACAGGTCAGTCTGCGAGGCCACAGAATCTGCATTATGTGGTTCTTGTGTCACACTGCTGGCTATGTGTCCATGGGCATCCACCTTCCTTGTCTTTGCTCTTCTAACTGCAACAGGGGCCTTCTCCAAAAATCAGAGTGGAAGCAGGGAGAGTACAACTGAGGAGAGGAATCGGGCAGCAGATTTTCTCGTCTGATTTAGTAGGTGCCGAGCCGTGTACGCTCATTTGGTAGCCGCTCACTTATGGGTGCCAAAATTTCCACAGAAGACTCACCTCTTAAATTTCCTATATTTTTCTCTGTTTGATCTTGTCTGTAGATAATTAAAGACTTCCTCTACTTTTTTTTTTAAGCCTATTTATTTTTTCTTACTAATCTTCACGCCCAATGTGGGGCTCAAATTCATGACCCTAAGATCAAGAGTCACATGCTCTTCCGTCTGAACCAGCCAGGTGCCCTTAGACTTCCTCTACTTTAATTAATAAATTTCCTTCTACCTATTTTCCCAAATTCAAGGAGGTTTTTCTTAGGCTATTATTGGTCCTTGGCAGAAATAAGCTGTGTTCACCTTCCTCTCTTCGATGTTATGTTTTAGAGTAGTTTGGGGCAAAGCCAGTCCTATTTCTGTCCACTGTTGAAGTATATTTTCAGCCTAATAGAATGTATGAGCTGCTCCTCCTACCTAGAATATTCTTCCCACAGATCCTTCTTGTTATTCCGATCGGAGCTTAGATGGCAGCTCCTGAGACAGGTTCTTCCAGTTGCCCGGTCACCTAAGAGGCCACTCGGTCGTTGTTCCTCAGCACACAACCCGTTCAAGTTTTCTGCAAACCACTTTTATTAGCTTATGTTTTCTTGTGGTCTGTGGACACATTTAATCTCTGTCCTCTCCCACTAGAACATAAACTCTGGGAGAGCGGAGACCTTGCTTGTTCTGTCCTCCAGCTCCCGAAACAGGCCTAGCAGATCATGGATGCTCGAGTAATAGTTGTTAGATGAATCAATAATTGAATAGTGAATGTTTAATGGTTTAGTAAGGACAACTGATATCAACGGCTTACCTTCCTTTGCTTCATTTTCCTCTGACTCTGGGTCTGTCTGTCCCTGGCTCTGCTGGCTGTTATTGCAGAAGGCTGTCTGATGGTTCTCTGGCCCAGGGGACCTATGGCTTGTCCCTTCTTCACGGTTATCGGCCGCAGAGGCTCCTTCTCCCTCTTTTTGGTTTGCCACCTCATCTTCTTCTGAAGGGGCCAAGAAGTGGAGTTTCAGGCCTGTGAAGTTGGAGAGCAGCAAGAACAGAGGCTCGGAGTGGAACAATTCCATGCAGTCCTTCAGAATGTCGGGAAGCTTGCTCTCCTCAGCTTTCTCATAAAACCTGGAAAGCAGTGATGCCAAGTTGTTCATCAAAACCGTACCTCTACAATGACTCATGGAAGAAAAGCTGTTCATTAGTTTTGTACCCTGCTCCCGAAGTCCTGGCACAGCCTACTAAAGCACGGCTTGTTGTAACTGTGAGGCTCTGTCAGGGCCTGCTACTGGATGTCCCTGGGAATGAACATCACCAGGGCCAATGTCCTACTACTGGCAGATGTCCTATTATTGGAAGTGAGCCTTCCAGGCAAACAGGCAGTTGCCGAACGCAAAGGCAAATGTCGTGGCTCTACCTTTTGTTAGGGGGACCTCGGCTGCTCCATTTCACGTCTCCTTTCTCCAAAGCCTCACAGACCTCTGCAAATTTCTCAGGCTGGAAAAGGAGCAAAGAAAGAAGCAGTCAGTGGGTCTCTCTATGATCCCACCTTGGTCTTGCAGGTGGAGCCGCTCTGCAGAATCATGCTGGCTGATTCCTAAAAGGGCCAGTGGACATTCGCCCCTTTTGCCCAAGGCCCCCAGGCCTGATACAGTGCAGCCAGAAAAAAGACTGGATAAATCATCAGCATGCTTTAGCCAAGAGACCCGAGTGTCAATTTGGGCTATTTCCTTTAGCGGTTGTGTGTCTCATGTCAGATCGCTAAACCTCTCAGACTCCTGCATTTATAAAATGAAGATCATAATACGGTCTCTTCAATTCATAAGATGTGAGGAAAAACAATGAAACTGCTTAATGGTCAATGTCATCACACTAAAAGTCTCTGTAGGCCTCACCTTTATGCATTCAGCTTTCTAAATAGAGAAAGCCAAGTACAGAGCAAGAAGCTGATTAATCTATTGAAATCTGCTCCACAAGAGGCTTTCTATGTACTTGTTTAATGTGGCTTCCCAAGGAGTGTTCTCAAAACAGCAGTCCTATCAGCTGTAAAACAGGAAAGAGGATCCCAAAGCCTGGTTTAGGTAAGCTTAATAAAATAGGATCAAACAAAGTTTATTTACTGTAATATTTCTCAAACTCCTTAATATGCTAATGTCAGCTTTAAAATTTCAAGAGGGAAGGGGAGAGGGGGAGAGAGAGAGAGAGGCAGTATGTTTCTCGTGGAGGAACAGCTCTTGGGACTGTGCTTCCATGGGACCCAGGGTCAACTGTGAAGTGCCACACCGGTGTCTATGATCTTGTTTGGCCCTCACAACAACTCTTCAGGATGAACAAGGCAGGTCTTATCCCAGTTTAACTGATGAAGACCTACAAGCTCTGGGAGATTCAGTGATTTGCTCATTAGTAAAACCACAGAGCCAGGGCATGAATATTAAGTCTTCTGACTCCTGATGTAGTCCCTCTCCACTGAAATGTGCTGTGTATCATTGTCAAACGTTCATTAATGGGTGCTGCTCAGTTAATTATCTTTTACTAAAAGCAATAGTAAGCTGATAGGAAACCATATTCACCAAATGAATAGGAAGGAAGCTACATACAACTCCCTGTCAGTGTAGAAGCGTGCGTGCGTGTACGTGTGTACCATTAGGATTCCAGAAAACTGGGGAACATCGAAGGGACTCAACCCACTAAGCATACAACTGGTACCAATGTTAGCTACTAGCATCACCTGTATATTTTATGAAAAAGATGATATAAACATTCTAACCAGGAACTAACCCAAAACTCCTTTAGTGATGCCTGTTTACCCACCCAAGAAGCGAGAAAGACAAAAGCACAAGTTGTTATAGCAGTGAGATTCTGTTAGGGCCTGCTACTGAGGTCCCCAAGATACACTGGACAGAACGTGCTGGCTTACCTTAAGGAACTCCTTTAGGAGAATTTCAGACCGTTCTTCAAATTCTTCTTGAATTTGAACTTGGTAATCCATGTCCAGATAAGTAGGGTTGATCCAATCATACAAAATTTCATGCTTACAAAGAAGCAGCAGATGCAAAACGTGAATTAACAATTCCTATTGCTTTTGTTCTTACATCATTTCGTGCTAGTAAAATATATGCAAAGCCTCACTTTATAATCTTCTCCTTGTTACACATAAAAGTGCTGGAAAACTCTGCCTGAGAAAAAAACACTATCAAAAGTTTACCTAAGAAAAGCAAAAGAGGAAACTCAAAAGTCCAGTTTCATTATCAGGAAAACAAACCATACAGTAAAGCTTCTAAGATAAGAATCCCGACAACAGGCATTATCCTTACATCTTGTGGGATGTGAGGGCTCCGAGGTATGAGAGGTTCAAAGTAGTTGGGAGGCCGGGTCAGTGAAGGACCATGGAACCAGCCACTTATAGACAAACGTGACTTTTCTTCAGATAGGACTTCGGACACCTGAAAGGACAAGGCCAACAGCGCATGAACGTACCCGCTGAGGGGGACGATTGCTAGCCAAGGCGCGCTCACTTCTGGATCCGTCACGCTGGATGCGCGCACAACCTGGCCACGGAAGTCCAACAGGAAGCTCTCACATTTCGATAACAGGGGACTAAAAAGCATGATCCTTAGTACTCTGTATATTTGTGGTTTATAATCTTTACCTGGTGAAAGGATACTGGAGACACTTCAAAGAAAACCAGTGTGTTCCATGAAGGGATAAGAGACTTGACGATCTGCTTCGGCTGGAAGTGTTCTGCACCAGGAAAGAGGACAATCACAAATGTGGTTTTGTTACCACTAACCACTTTCAGCCTGCCCTGTTTCACCTTGACAATTCTCAGATTTCTAAGGGGAAGTAGATGGACCCTGCAGATCCCAAAACGTCACCCTCTTCCATCTGTTTCACTCAGTTCTGCTACCTGACCATTGTTCTTACTATGCCATCTGTCTATTATCGATGAGGGCTGGGGTAAGTTCGGAAAAGTTTTCGAGAGGCAACATCTGGTGTCAGTCATTAGGAAACAACCCTGACTTCCTGTCAGACAGACTGGCGCGGGCACACTGATGGTCCCAGGCAGCTTTTCACGTGCTCCAGCTTTCCACAGTCAGTACTCAGGAGTAGGGTCTGACTAGTCCTCATGCTCATGGACTCCACCTCTGGAGTAATGACTACAAGTACAATGTAGGGACGCGGCTGTCAAGGCTGGTGTCCGCTCCCCCTCCTCAGAGGAGGACACACACTGTGTGTAAGAGCTCAGAAGTAGCTACTGGTGCTGATGTGTACGCGCTTCTCTTACCATCAACGTCATACAGGTCCAGGGTGCCCCCCAAGCTCCTGTCCCAGGGAGGAACCAGGTAAAGAATGAAGGCGATCCGGCGCCCTTCCAGCTCATCATCGTGGCAGAGGAGGGCATCTGCAATAGTGCAACATGTACTTTAATGTCCCCGAGCTGACAAGGAGCAGCCACTACTCTGATCCTGCATTTTAGTATCGGTCCATCTGATATTCACCTGCAATGTGAGCTCCTCCAGCTTTGTAAAATGACACTTGTTTCTCCTGTTTTATAATCAGAGACATACAACTGGGAACACGGAGAACTCTAAAAGCCCTGAAGAACACACATATGGACAGACCCCAGAGATAATCACTAACAATATTTGTGCTTATATTCTTCCAGCACTTTTCCTACATACGTTTGCTTAAAAAAAAAAAAATGGGTGTCCTACAGTGGTTGTTTTGTGGCCTTTTTACTACCATCACTATATACAGCTGTCATCGCTTTTTTAATGGCCCTGTAGTTATTCTACTATACGGATTATGAATTACCTTCTTTCTCCTTTAATTAATCTTAGACTTAATTGTTTCCATTTCTCATCTGTTAAGAAAAATGCTTCAATAAGCAAATGACCATTACTGTACATAGATCTTTTGGTAGCAGTTCCCATTAATTTCTTGAGCTAAAGCTTCTAAAAGCCGTTAGGTGGGACTGAGCAAGGGAGGCATCCCTGCAGGGCAGGAGAGGGAGGATTTGCTATGGTGAACTGTGATCGTTCACACATGGAGGGATTGTTTTGATAAAGAAATATCCTGAAGGTGACGGAAGCCATGGTTCTCACTGCTGAGGAAGGAAATTATAAATACGGAAATGGAGAAATCTGGGATAAACCTTATGGTGTTGAATTGGAACTGGAGGAATCAGTGTGAATTGATTTTCCTATGTATGGAGATATTTAGTTAGATATCTACATATTTCTAGACACTGACATACATAAACATGTAAACGCATGTGTGCTCATGCGCATCCGTCTATTTGCTACCTCTTCTCCACAGAAAGGCCTGGGAGCAGTGACACCCTAATGGCAAAACACCCAGAGTCCAGATCTTGATTTTTAAGTATCATTCGTCACTAAAAGGAATCAGGGTTCTTTGGAAGAATGGCTAACTCTGGGTCTAGAGCAGGGGACATATAAGATGAGCTTGGAAAAATCTTGTTCTGCTAGGAAGTAAAATGTATTAAGAATGATGGGGACACATCAAAAGGACATGGAAATCAGTGTAAGGTGCTCCCTTTGATCAAATCAGGGACAAGAGGAGCATCACTATAATATAGCAACTGATTACAGCCCGTTACATAGTGACCCATAAAGCCACACTGATGTAAATAAATATATGAATAAATAAATGGGAAGAGAGGAAGGTTTCCTTTACAGAATGACAGTAAATGTAAAGGGAATGCCAGAGGATGCTAAAATAAGCAAATCAAAGTTGGAGGAGAAATGGGATATTTACATAATTGTTAAGTATCTCCCCACAAAATTCTTATTCACTTATAGAAAGAAAAAGAACAAGTTTACAGTGGGAAAGCCTGACATCAGTTACCACCTTAATTAAGTAATCAAAGTATCACTAGGGGCGCCTGGGTGGCTCAGTTGGTTAAGCGACTGCCTTCGGCTCAGGTCATGGTCCTGGAGTCCCGGGATCGAGTCCCATATCGGGCTCCCTGCTCAGCAGGGGGTCTGCTTCTCCCTCTGCCCTCTTCCCTCTCGTGCTCTCTGTCTCTCATTCTCTCTCAAATAAATAAATAAAATCTTAAAAAAAAAAAAGTATCACTAGACTATGACACACAGAAACCATATACCACTTGATAAGATGTACTAAAAAACAAAACAAAACAAAACAACCCCCACATAATTCTGTAACATTCCTACCAAAAATGCAAGCCTTGAATCTAATCATGAGGAGGCATCAGGCAAACCCAAATTGAGGGCAAATGTACAAAATGAGTCATCTGTAAACCTTCAGAAGGCTTAAGATCATGAAAGTCAAGGCAAGACTGAAGAACTGTTCTAGATTGTGGGAGACCAAGTCAGGCATGACAACTATGCAATCCTGGACGGGATCCTTTTGCAATCAAGGACCAAATAATGGAACTTGAATGGAGCCTGCAGACTGGATGGGAATAATGTATTGATCCTAATTTCCTGATTTTGATGGTTTATTGCCATCATCTAGGAGAATGTCCTTGTTGTAGGAATCACTGAAGTACATGGGGGTCCTGGAACAGGATGGCAACCTACTCTCAAGTAAAATGGGAAAAAACTATACTATGCTTGCCATGTTTCCGTAAGTTTGAAATGATTTCAATTAAAAAAAGTTTTTAAAAAAAGGGCTTTTGATAGGACTCATCCTGTGTATCACTCAGTTAGCCTCAAAAAGTGGTTACCAATGTATACCTCCCCCTTATACTTTATACTGTATGAGAGTAAACCCACATCAAAATTTTACTTAGTGAAACAAAGCAAAACACTTTTCCTTCCAGGTGAAAAAGCAAACACGCTTTCAAAAAGACATTTCTTTGCTCACAAAGGGAACTGGTGACAATGGATACCTCTGAAGAGAAAGGGGGACAAGGAGAAAGTGCAGGGAACTGTCAAGGTTTACACTGTATCCTTCTATACTGTTCGAAGATTCTTCCTTAAGGATGTAGTCTTTTCGGGGTGCCTGGGTGGCTCAGTCGTTAAGCGTCTGCCTTCGGCTCAGGTCATGATCCCAGGGTCCTGGGATCGAGTCCCACATCAGGCTCCCTGCTCCGCGGGAAGCCTGCTTCTCCCTCTCCCACTCCCCCTGCTTGTGTTCCCTCTCTCGCTGTCTCTCTCTGACAAATAAATAAATAAAATCTTAAAAAAAAAAAAAAAGAAGGTCCTAATGCTATGGGGGGACGTGTCCCAAGTCTAGGATCCTGGCACACCAATGCTCTTGCTGCCACTGTGTAGCTAAAGCCTGTAAGTCCTCTAGACATCAAGGGCTTTATCTTTCTTACCAGAGAATTCATATTTAGCACAGGACATGTCAATAGTTGATTCCAGGTCAATCTTGGAAATGTCAGCAAGCCAAGTCCGGAAATCTTCAAACAGAACTTTCCTAGAAATGTCAACAAAGGTAACCTGTTAGCCACAGTATTTGGATCTCGGCCACAGCTACTTTTCCCTGGAGGCTGTAGTAGCTTCTTGAAACTTGCACAGTTTAGGCCTTGGAACTGAAATAAAGAGAAAGAAATACAAATCCATCTACTGGGCGCCTGAGTGGCTCAGTTGGTTGAGCGACTGCCTTCGGCTCAGGTCATGATCCTGGAGTCCTGGGATCGAGTCCCACATCGGGCTCCCTGCTCGGCGGGGAGTCTGCTTCTCCCTCTGACCCTCCTCCCTCTCATGCTCTCTGTCTCTCATTCTCTCTCTCGCAAATAAATAAAAAATCTTAACAAAAACAAAAACAAAAACAAATCCATCTACTGTAATATAGTTTTGCTCTGCTATTTCATTTTACTTTCTTCCTCTTAAATTGATAGTATGCTCTAGCACGGCAGTGCTTTGCCCTCTGTCATAATTTAGCACCCTGATGTTCCTTTCCGAGGTTACTGATTTTTAGACATGTTTTTTGGCACTAAATACTACTGCACTGCTTAATGACCATTTGGGTGACACTGTTGCAGATTAAAAACTTTAAGTTGCAATAACAGTGAATATTATGCTAACTGTAGGCTCAGGAAAATCTTTTATAGAAGTTCTGATGCCAGCACAATACCAGTAAGAGATGCTGAACATTTCCATTTGCCAGCTAATGGGGCTCTCTGTATAGAAATCTCTTTAACACAATTTATAACTCACTCAGCCAATCAACTTTGGAAGTATGTGAATCTTCATGAGTTGAAAACATTTTGAAAGGGGGCGCCTGGGTGGCTCAGTCGTTAAGCGTCTGCCTTCAGCTCAGGTCATGATCCCAGGGTCCTGGGATCGAGCCCCGCATCAGGCTCCCTGCTTCGCGGGAAGCCTGCTTCTCCCTCTCCCACTCCCCCCTGCTTGTGTTCCCTCTCTTGCTGTGTCTCTCTCTGTCAAATAAATAAATAAAATCTTTAAAAAAAAAAAAAAGCCCCCCCAAAAAGAAAACATTTTGAAAGGACTTACATCGGTTCACATTTTGCACACACAGACAGTATTTTTTGGATCATCTTAGTCCAAATGTACACAATTGAAATTCCCATAAAATGCAACTGTGCTGTTCATAACTAAGTATCAAGTCTCCAGGCTGATCTCCTAAGATTTTAATACCAAGTCCCTTTTCCACACTTTACATTACCAAACCAAAAAATTCTAAAAAACGCTGTGCTAGGTTGGTCCAACCAGAAATGCCATGTAACTTCAAAAACAGAGTTGCAACTTGTATTTAATGAGCCAGCAGAACAAAGTGCTGAACCAGGCTTGCGATGTGGGTAGCAAACATTTCTGCAAAGTCTTGATGCTTTAAGCAACTATGATCAAAGCCTTAAATCCCTCTTTTACTGGTAACACTGGCCTCCTCAAATGTATTCCATAAAAAGTTCTTCCTCTAGTCACTATGAAAGGGTCACAAGGCCAGGGTTACTTTCTGCCATTATTCTCATTTGTTAATCGAATATAACGGAGAAATCACAGAGCCCAACTGGGAAGTATAAAGATCACCTTTCTATAGACCAAGGAATCCCGTCTAACACACCATCCGGCTATTATCCTGTGGGAATAGAATGGAACCTCAGTCCCACAGGAAAGGCTTACCAGAGTGTGCTGTGAACTAAAGAGATAATGCCTTACAGTGCAGTGCGATCATCTCTCTTTGGAACAACAATAACAAAAGGTCTACATAAATATGAGATATTATGAGGTGCAGTTAATACATGAGTAATACTTCAGAATTGGGAAGAAATAACAATCTGTGCAGACTGCCATCCTATATCAAAATGTCCCAGAGGAAAAAAGAGAACGAGGAAAAAATGACCTCTGTATAAATGAAAAACCGTGATTACAAAGTAACATGTGCCTACTGTAGCAAAACTAGGGGAAAAAACCCTCTATAAGTAAAAAGGAACTGTTAAAAAAAATGTGAAATCCAACTAGCCAGATTTAAACATTCCATTCTTCTCTTTTTTCCTTTGTACACAGATAGCCAAATATATCTTTTAAAAATCATTCACACTGTGTGTGCTGTTTTAACGACTTTTCTCTTTTTTTAAAAGATTTTTATTTACTTATTTATTTGACAGAGAGAGAAAGAGAAAGAGAGAGCACACACGCACAAGCAGGGGGAATGGCAGGCAGAGGGAGGAGCAGGCTTCCCTCTGAGCAGAGAGCCCGATGCGGGGCTCGATCCCAGCACCCTGGGATCATGACCTGAGCCGAAGGCAGACGTTTAACCGACCGAGCCACCCAGGCGCCCCATCTTTTCTCTCGACAAGTGTACTGCATCAACTCTAATATGCCTCCTCTGTAAGAAGTATTATTGTTTTGCTATCACTTAAAAAAATGTTGCCAATTAAAATAGGACACAATAGTAATTTGTGAGACACTGGACCCCAGCAGTGCTAAAATGTAAAAGAAGAAATGTGTCTTAGAATCGGTGAAATCAGGTTTATCATTCTCATGTATTAAAATTCACACATCATATTCAATGGTTGTAGAGTTTTCCGCTCATGCTTTTACCATTATCTATATAAATCTCAATGCATGGCCTTTTAATTTGTATATAGTTTTTTACTATTTTGGGGCACCCAGGTGGCTCAGTGGGTTGAGTGTCCGACTCTTGATTTCGGCTTAGGTCATGATTTCAGGGTCATGGGATCGAGCCCTGCATTGGGCTCTGAGCTCAGCAGGGAGTCTACTTGAAGATTCTTTCTCCCTTTCCCTCTGCCCCTCCCCCAACTTGCACTAGAGCACACGCACTCTCTCTCTCTCTTTCTCGTTCTAAAATGAATAAGTCTTTAGAACATTTTTTCCCCACTATTTTTAACAACATTACAACATGCAATCTTGTATGAAATTTTTGAGCACATCCTTAATTATTTTCTCAGGATAAATTCTTATAAGTGGAATGATACTATAAAAAGGGAAGCATAATTTTAAGAGTTTTGATACATTTTTCAAAACCATCATCTAAGAAAGGGATCGATACTTCTGTCAACACTGGGGGATTTTGTTTCGAATATTTGCCAACCTAATATGTGAAAAATGGTTCCAGCAGTGTTTCCTTGATTACTAACAAAGCTGAACATTTTATCACTGAGAAGGTGGGCCCTGGAATCAGACTGATTTGAGTTTGTAGCTTAGCTCCCTCGGTTTTCATCTAGGAAGCCTTGAAGAAGTTACTTAATCTCTCAATCTGTTTTCTCCTCTACAAAATGGGATAATGACATAACGTTATATGATGTAACATTTTCTGCACCTGACAAATATGATTGTTTACCTTAAAGCACAGATGTGAGGCTCTCTTCTCTTCTTCAAATCATCCGACTTGATCATAGAAAAAGAAAAAAAAGGATTTCCTTTATATATTACACACAGAGAAAAGCAGTTCAGTGAGTGCCCTTGCAGTGTAGGATTGTGGCGAAGAGCCTGGACTGAAGCCAAGCTGCCTGGCTTTGACCTGTGGCCCCTCCATATGGCAGCTCTATGACTCGGGCAAGTTACTTAACCCCCCTGGGCCTTACTCCATTCAACAAATATTTAAATAGTTATCGACAGTGGAGCTTATATTCTTTTTGAGGGAGACAGACAGTAAACATAAAAAGCTGATTGTTAGCATGAAAGAAGGGGACAAAGGCACAGGGAAAACCAGCAGGATATGAGGTACTGGGCATGCTGAAGGTGGGAAAGGGTTTGCAAGTACAAACACGATGGCCAGGCTTGATTTTGCTGAGTGAAGCAAAGCCTTGAAGGAGGTTGGGAAACATGCCAAGGGAATATCTAGGCAAAGAGGATTCAAGGTCCTGGGGTGCCCAGGTGGCTCAATCGGTTAAGTGTCTGACTCTTGATTTCAGTTCAGGTTGTGATCTCAGGGTCGTGAGGCTCCCATGTCAGGTCCCCTGTTCAGCATGGAGGCTGCTTGAGATTCTCTCTCCCTCTCCCTGTGCCATGCCCTGCCCCACGCACACTCTCTCTCAAAATAGACAAATTAATTAAAAAAAAAAAAAAAAAAGGATTCAAGGTCCTGGGTGTGAAGCATGCCTGGTCTAGTCAAAACATCCAAGGAGACTGCGTGGCTAGAGTGTAGAGAGTGCGGGGGACAGCAGTAGGAGATGAGGCCAAAGAGGCAATGGGATGCGTTAGAACTCTTCTAAGTACTTTGGCTTTCTGACAAAGAAATGAGGAACCTTTGGAGGCTTTGAACAAAGGAGTAATAGGATCCCATTTACATTTTTAAAAATTGAGATAAAATTCACGTAACATAAAATTTATCATTTTAACCATCTGAATGTGTAATTCAGTAGATTTTCGTATATACGCGATGTTGTGCGACCACCACCATTATCTGATTCCAGAACATTTATCATCCCCCCACCAAAAAGAAACCCTATACTCATTAGGCAGTCACCGTACATACTCTTCTCCCCAAGGTCCTGGCAACCGCTAATCTACTTTCTGCCTCTCTATATGGATTTGCCTAGTCAGGACATTACAGATAAGCGGAATCCTACAGCACGTGGCCTTGCATGTCTAGCTTCTCTCAGTATATTGTCAAGGCTCCTCCATGTTGCAGCAGCATTGCTATGCCATTCCTGTTCCTGGCTGAGTAATACTCCACCGTGTGGCTAGACCACACTCATCTGTCCATTCATCAGGTCATGGACATTTGGGTTCTTTCCACTTTTTAAGATATCATGAATAACCTGCTATGACCATTTGTGTACCTGTTTTCATGTGCACATGTTTTCAATTCTCTTGGGTCCATTGCCGTTTTAAAAGAACACAATGTCTGTGATTGTGTAGGTGGGCAAGAATGGAAGCAGTGAACTGGCCAATAAACTACAAGTGTAATTCTGATGAGAGGCAAGGATGCCTTGGACTGGCTGTTGGTAGTACAAGTGGAAAGAAGTGGGTTTTTCTGGATATGTTTTGAGGAGAGAGCCTGCAGAATTTCCTGACGAACTAGGTATGAGGTGAGAGAGGAATGGAAGGTTTTTAGCCTGAGCCACTTGGAAAGATCGAGTTGCCATTCACTGGATGGGTAAATTTGCAGGTGGAGCAGACTTAGGGGGAGAAGACCAAGAGTTTAGTTTTGGACATAACTGTGAGACACTTAAAAGATATCCAAGAGTAGAGGCAAAGCCATGGGAGTCCCTGGAAATCTGCCAGGAAGTGGCCCAAGGGCAAAGCCCTAAAGTACTCTATCATTAAGAAGTTAGGGGGCGCCTGGGTGGCTCAGTTGGTTAAGCGACTGCCTTCGGCTCAGGTCATGGTCCCGGGGTCCTGGGATCGAGCCCCGCGTCGGGCTCCCTGCTCGGCCGGAAGCCTGCTTCTCCCTCTCCCACTCCCCCTGCGTGTGTTCCCCCTCATGCTGTCTCTCTCTCTCTCTGTCAATTAAATACATAAATAAAATCTTTAGAAAAAAAAAGAAGTTAGGTACAAAAGGAAGACCTATCAAAGGAAACCAAGGGCTTGCCAGGGAGGTAGAAGGAAGACTCTGAGAGCGTGGTATCCCGAAAGTAAAGAAAATATCTCCAGGAGGAAGGAGTAATCTCAAATGCAGCTGGAAGGTCAAGTAAAATGAATCCTGAGTGAGCCCGACGAGTGTAGTTTCAGTGGAGCTGTAGGTAAAAGCCTGATGCAAAATGGGCTTGACGGAGAATGAGAGAAGGAGTATTTGAGAAAGTACAGACAACTTATATGGAATTCTACTGTCAAGAGGAGCAGAGGAATGGGGTAAAGGGCAAAGTTAGGTCAAAAGCATTTTTTTCTTAGGAACAGCTTTCTTTCTTTTATTTATTTGACACAGTGAAAGACACAGCGAGAGAGGGAACACAAGCAGGGGGAGTGGGAGAAGGAGAAGCAGGCTCCCCGCTGAGCAGGGAGCCCGATGTGGGGCTTGATCCCAGGACCCTGGGACCATGAGCTGAGCCGAAGGCAGGCACTTAATGACTGAGCCACCCAGGCGCCCCTAGGAACAGCTTTCTTTCACATGTCACAGGGAATGATCCAGAAGAGAAGAAAAAAACCAGTGTACTCCCCTCATCTGTAAACAGGAATAGGAAGGTACCTCCTTCATAGGACTGTTATGAGGATTTAATGAATTCATTCATTCATTCTCTGTTATGAGAATTTATTAATGAATTAATAAATATAAAGCACTTAGCATGGCATAAAGCATGCACTCAGTAACACTTGCTTTAAAATATCCAGAATATCAGGCAACTCCTACTGACACACTTGTTTAGGAAGGTTGTAAGATGTTATAGACCCCATTATTAAGATATTTCACAGCACAAGCAAAGAAAAGAGGATATAAGCAAAGTCTGAAGGGACAGGAGACTGAAAATAGGTTTTGCATCTACTGTTTTAGAATGAAGAAGTTCAATCCCAAAGTGAGCATAGTAAAAATTATTCACAGCAGAGCACAGTTTCACCTAACACCCATGTGATCTAAAGTAATCTTTTTCCCCCTCCTCATTACCCAGAGCCCTTTTTATTATATTGCCACTCACTGACATCACAGTTAGAAGTGTTTTCATCTACCAAATTGCATCAAGTAAAAACCAGTTTAAATCCTCAGTTTTTGTAATCAGAGATACATATAGCCCTAAATCAACAAAGAGACCTACTGTTATTGAAGTTGATATAATTACAAAGGCAGACAGTTGTGACTTTTAATTAACCTATGTAACTTCACTAGGATAAAAGTTTAATTTTGTCAGATTTCCTGACTTATTAAGAGTCATATCATGTGTATATTTAACTTGGTTAATCATATGTGTTAAGGCCCAAAGATAGAGACTGGGGGACATAATCAGCTCTAGTGCAAAAGAATAAAAGAGAAGGAAATCCTGTTATTTACTCTTTTATCCCAGATAAAGAGAAATCAAAGGGTTAAATGCAAAGAAAACAAAATAATCCTTCATCTTTTTCATTTTTATTTTATTCTGTGATTTTTAAGGGCTGATATCCTTGAGATTTCATAAAGGATTTCCAAGAGTGATGTATACCATGTACTAAAAAGATATTTCCCCTCAAACTGGGGAAACCAATGACCTGTATTTCTATACCTAGACTGAGCCCTGTCTTCTAAGAGTGGAAAAACTGGCCCTGATTTTGATACGGTCTTTCCTGCCAAGTTAAACTGTCCACCAAAAAAAGAATAGATCTCACTCTCTGCGGACATACTGCGATGCACAGCATACATCAAGTCACCTAAAATAAGGACATGAATTAAAAATTTAAATAGGTATTATTTTCCAACGTGCAACCCTCTTCAGCATACCAATCCTCAAAATGCACTTAATCCCCTTTGTTTATAATGTACTTAACTTACTGGCTTACTGTATTTCTTGACTATCGCTAGATAGTCACCATCACTAGCACTTCTCTTAGTTTAGTCTTACAGGGCAGGAACTGTCAGAGGCTCCCATGCAATAATTATAGCACCTAACACATCATTAACACTCAGTAAGCTTATGTGAAATGAAGGAATGCTTTTAGCGATGTCAAGGCAAGGACCCTCCAAGGCAAACCCAATCTAAAACCTCAAGTCTAAAGGTAAGGAATGATTCTGTAGATAAAGCATTTCTTAAGTGGAAGAGTGAATGTGAAAGGGACATAAATACCTGCTGGAACTTATATAAATCGTTATACTTTTCATGGAAGTCCAAGTTCAAAAGTTCCTTCTGAAGCCCTTCCAAAAAGTTTTGGCTTTGGATGAAGTTTGGGATCACGCAGTGAAGAAAGGGATCCATGTCCATGGCAATGGCCTCTGTTGGAAGGAAAACATTACTTATGGCTTTTTCCCCTTTTGTATTTTTGACCTGAGTAGCATGGCAGAGGGAATACAAAAGGGAATGATCATGAATTTTCAGAAATCTAGTACCAAAAGACTTGGGGGAAGAATTATAAGCTCTTCCCTTTTTTCTTTACCCCATTCAATACTACTTTTTTTTTTTTTTTAAAGATTTTTATTTATTTGACAGAGAGAGACCAGCGAGAGAGGGAACAAGCAGGGGGAGTGGGAGAGGGAGAAGCAGGCTTCCCACTGATCAGGGAGCCCAATGCGAGGCTCGATCTCTGGACCCTGAGATCATGACCTGACCCGAAGGCAGAGGCTTAACGACTGAGCCACCCAGGTGCCCCTCAATACTACTTTTTAAATATATTGTGTTCAAAATACGAGTCCTTAGGAATACAGGTGATATCACTAAATTAAGGTTCCTGCTCTTTTTTGCGTTTTTTAGTTCAATGATTAGCTATTGAACTGAATATATTTTAGATTCCTTATTCATTTCCCCCAAAATTAAAGTGAAAGGAGCAAATGAAAAATGAGAATAGAGGGGCACCTGGGTGGCTCAGTTGGTTAGGCATCCAACTCTTGATTTTGGCTCAGGTCATGATCCCAGGGTTGTGAGACAGAGCCTCACCGCAGGCTCCATGCTAGGGGAGGAGCCTGCTTAAGATTCTCTCTCTCCTCTCCCTCTGCCCACCCCCAACCCCTAAAAAAAATGAGAACAGCAATACTGGCTGGCAATTTTTCTTCAACTCTGTCTTTTCTTTCTCCAAGTTACTGTTGGAGGAAGGAAGTTACAACATACACTTTTTAAAAAAATCGGTTCAAGCAAAACTCCTCGATGCCTTGATTTCTGTCTCAACATTTTAGCCACTGCCTCTGATACTCTAGGTACCCTCCTAATATTAATAGTCACCACCACTACCATCACCACCACCGCCACCTACCCCGTGCCAAACACAGTGGTGTTTTACATGCATAATGTCACTTCATCTCCTCAGCAACCCTGTGATAGACATTATCACTATTTCCATCCTACAGCTGAGGATATTGACAAGTCCCTGGGGGTACAGAGCTTGCCCTTTAGACACTGAGCTATCACCTTTTATGTGCATCCAGACACCCAGGACTCACCCCTTCGAAGCACTTAACAACTGAAACCCAAATCATGGCAAACTCTAGGAGGGAAAGCATGCGGCATGAAGCGGAATTCTTATCCTCTAAAGTGATATCTGAAGCTGAGGCTGGAATCGTTCAAGGTGAGTTTCTTCCCTTGCTCAACACTCGTTTACTCCCATAGGTCACGTAGTCGGCCTACAGGCGTGTAAAAACGAGTAAGCTCAGGCGCCAGCCATCTGGCAGCTCACAATAAATGCTCTGGCTACACGATTTTGGGATAACCGATCTTTGCCCTCGGAGGAAATACGAACTTGCATGCCATGCCCTCTGCTTCCCAACTCTCGGGCCTACGTTTCTTCCTCCTCAGATTTCTAAATCCAACCCGAACTTGGAATGATAGAGGGCAGCAGGAGAGTCAAAGGTGGCCAAAGTCACACTGTCTCCAAGGGCCTCTTCCCTCGTGGCCCCGCTGCCCGGGGCTCGACTCGATTGGTAGGACTTTCAGAGGCCCCCCCAGACCCTGCTCCCCCTTCACAGCACCGGGTTACCGTGACGGAACGGCGTCCTGCGGCTCCAGGCCTCAGACACCTGCTTTTTCAAGGTTTCTTCGGTGACAGCGTCCGAAAACTCCGCTATCACCTCCTTCTTTCCCTTTTTCCCCGTCCGGCCAGAAACTGGCTCAGCTGGCCGTTTCCCATTCATCTTCTCTTAAGCTACAGACCCACGCCACACTGATTAAGCAGCTACTTTCCTAGGCTGACTACAATTCCCAGAATGCCCCCTTTCCCGTGTTCCCCAGCGCCGACCAATAGGAAGTATCAAAGTAAAAGGAGGCGGAACCCATTCCTGGTTTACCAATGGAAGCTCTAGATATTGCGGCCATCTCATCAGCGATTGGCCTAGTGGCGCTTGGCCCGGCTGGCCTCCGCCTCTCTACTTCCTGCCGCCAGAGGCTCCGGATGCACTTCCGGCGTGCCTTCGCCTCCTCTTGCGCTCTCATGTTAATGGCGGGTGGCGTCTGCTGAGGGGGACGCAAATAACCGCTACCGGCACAGGGAAAGTCTCCCTGCCTGCCCCACTTCCTCTCTCCGCAAGTACTCGAGCTCGCCAGCATGTCCGTGGTGCCGCCCAATCGCTCACAAACCGGCTGGCCCCGGGGGGTCAACCAGTTCGGCAACAAGTACATCCAGCAGACCAAGCCCCTCACCCTGGAGCGCACCATCAACCTGTAAGTGCGGCCTGGCCTTAGCGCGCTGCATTCGCGGGCACCCCCTTCCTCGTGAGCGCTCGCAGAGACTGCCGATCTTCTTCGGCGCGCCCCCGGCCCTCGGCGGGCTTCACGCCTCCCCATCACCTCCACTCCCGCTCGCGACCGCGCGCCTTTCTAGATCCCACGGGCCCCTTCGTGGTCCTCGGGCGCCACGGGGTTAGAGTCCTACTTGAGAGGGTTTTCCTTTCCCGGAGAGAGGGCTTGCTCCCATGCCCCCGGATTCAGTGATAGTAGGAAAGTCCCAAGTTTGCTTTTGAACTCACCCCTTGCCCAGGTCTCCAGAGGAAACCAGCTGCAGAGCGTGGTGTTCGTTCTTCCTGTGCAGTGTTTATGTTTTCACATCACGTATGTGGTATTGCTTTTGTGGGTTCTTATTTGGTATAAATGGTATAATGTTACCTTGTTTGCAAATTTATACCAAATTTATTTGGTATAAATGGTATAATGTTATCTTGTTTGCAATTTTCACTTTTCTGTAGCAGTGAGCTTTCGAGAGCTAGCTCTAATGCGTAGGTTTAGTTTTTTTCTCTTAACGGCTTAATTGATATTTGAGCTCCAGCATCCACCACATTTTATTCATGTGCTCGGGGCCATCTGGCCTAACCTATGCATTCACCTGTCTTCTCTCCGCAGCGACAGCAGCCAGGCAGCCAGCGGGCCCCATCTTGGGAGGGTGCATACTGTTAAGGTTGGGCTTTCATTCAGACCCTGGAGGGGACCAGCATGTAGCCCCAGAGAACCCACTGTGGGCTGTGCTTTTATTTTCAACACTTTTCTGTTTGAACCCTTCAAGCTATTGCATTTCGAAGTCACTCTCAAAAGTTATCTCGCAGTGGCAGGTAATTGGCATTGGAGTTCTCTCTTGCTCAGCAAATTGTCAGTGTGCTCTCTCTTTTTTTTTTAATCATTTCTGAGAGTTCGTGAGGCACCGTGGTGCTGATCCTAATGAAGGAAAGTGGCCAGTTTATACTGGGCAGTGTTTAAAAGGTGCAAGGACTGGGGCTCCTGGGTGGCTCAGTCGATTAAGCCTATGCCTTCCGCTCAGGTTGTGATCCCCAGAGTCCTGGGATCTAGTCCGGCGTAGGGCTCCCTGCTCAGTGGGGAGCCCACTTCTCCCTCTCCTTCTGCCTGAGGCTCCCCCTGCTTGTGCTCGCTTGCTCTCTCTATCAGACAAACAATCTTAGAAAAGGTGCAAGGATTTACTGATGCTGGTGTTTCCATGAGAAACTTCAGGTGTTTCTCTACTTTACTTTCAAATAAATTAACTTTTCCCCTTCAAAAGCGATTTGAAATTGAAGAGATGGTTGTAGTTATTGTTTTATTTGGCAAAACAGGTGCTGGCATGGAAATTTAGACAATAAAAATGTTAGGTTTATGAAATCTGTAGCTAGATAGATGGGTATATACAATACTGTCTTTATATGAGCTATATTTTGAATTCTTGCTAGAGGAGGGGACAATATTCAGATTAGATACTGTGGGCAAAGGATTTGAATGACGAGAAGGGAAGAATAAGGATATTGAATAGAATACATGCAGAAAGTTAAGGTTTATATGGAGGGAAAAGATAAGTTCACCTGAAGAGGAAAGGGTTTCAGTACCAGAAAAGTCTGAGGGTAGTTGACTGGGAGAAAAGTAACTGAAGAGATGATGGAAGGTGATCGATCGCTCACCTTACAGAAAAAGAGATACTAGTCTTTAGCACCCATAATTAATAGAATTTCTGATTAGATTAGTAGAAGAGCCCAAGGGCATGTTAGCCAGGTTGGCAGTGTTAGTCTAGCCGCCATGATCTAAAACCAGAGGATTACCAGATATCCAGATAGCCACTTCTCTAAGCAGTTGAGGGCCTAAAGGGGTGGTGTTATCTGTATCTGAAAGGTAAGTGTGGTGTAGCAACTTGATGTAATGGAAGCTCTGGCCTTACAGTCCAGAGCTGGATTCTAATCTCTGCTGTCACATTAATTTGTGTAACTTTGGACAAAACCTGGTTCTCTGAGTACAGTTTGAACACTTTTTTTTTTTTTTAAACCATAGTTTCCTTATATGTGTTTGGTATCTGTCGTGGTAAATTATGGTCTTCAGTTCTCATGTTAGATATTTGTTTTTGGATCACAGGTACCCTCTTACCAATTATACTTTTGGTACAAAAGAGCCCCTCTATGAGAAGGACAGCTCTGTTGCAGCCAGATTTCAGCGCATGAGGGAGGAGTTTGATAAAATTGGAATGAGAAGGACTGTAGAAGGGGTTCTGATTGTACATGAGCACCGGCTACCACATGTGTTACTGCTACAGCTGGGAACAACTTTCTTCAAATTGTAAGTGTCATTGGAAGTTAACAGCTAGACAACTTTTAATAGGATTGCTGTTTTGTGCAGCTTTGGAAGACAATTTTAGACCTTAGTCATTTATTTCCATAAACACTCCTGTTAATAGAGTCTTTAGAAAGAGAAAAAATGTCATTTTTCTCCAGTGTAGTATTCATTTATTCCTTAACTAGCAATCTGCATGTTTCTGTATATTGTTGTTAATAACTGAGCCTGATAGAAGCCCCGTGAAGCAAATTAGTTCAAGTTTAATTTCTAGATGTCATTGTACCATTACTAAGAACAAGTGATATTCTTTCTTTCTTAGGATGAATGGTATTTCCTATTCTTAAAATAACTTACATTTTTATAGGTAACTGTTTAGTTTTATCATTTAAACTCATAAATATCTCCATATTATACATTTAGTGCACAACTGTTTGACCAGATTGTACCAAAAAGAGAGGTCCAAATCCTTAGTTTGGAATTCTTGAAGAATGCCCCATTTTTCAGACCTAAAGAATGTGGTCCATTGCCTCCTTGGGCATTTCTAGAATCCATTATGACCAGATTACCTTCCAGAGAAAAGAGAGTGGGAAAGACTGGTGGCTAGAAGTTGTTTGTTATATTACATATTTTGTTCATTTAAAGCTAGGGTTTGTGCACTGTTAGTCTGGTGAATTAATATTATGAATTCAACTTTATAGCACATTCTTCCCCCTCCCTTTGACATTTGTTTGCTTTGATTGCCTTATGTGACATTGAAATATGTGTTATTCAGTTATATGATAGAAATAACTATTATTGTGTTCTTCCTGTTATCCTAAAATTGTTTTAAGTTGAAAGGTGAAATTCTTAACCTTTATACAGACCAGGTGGTGAACTTAACCCAGGAGAAGATGAAGTTGAAGGACTAAAACGCTTAATGACAGAGGTATTTCTCCATTTAACCGCTTTGGTGGTTTTATCCTTGTCTATTTGAACATCATCATCTGAATGGATAATTAGGCTTTTTATCTTTTTATTTTTTAAGCTTATTTTGAGTAGTTTTCAATAAATAAAACTTAAACAACAGAGTGTTAGTACTATGTTTATTTTCCGTAAATTGAACTAGAACTTAACATTTTTTTCCATGAAGGTGTCGATGTAACAATAATGGTTAATAAAAGCCAACATTTATTGAGTACTTACTGTTAGGCACTTTTCTGAGTGCTTTACGTGCAGGAGCTCCTTCAATCATCACAACAGTCCTAGGGAGAAGTATTAATATTAATCCCATTTTACCGATAGGGAAACTGGGCACAGAGGGTTCAAGTAGCTTGCTTGATGTTTACAGTTAGTATGTCATGGAGCTGGAGATTGGAATGCAGTTAGTTTTGTTGCAGCGTAGGCCACTATAGGGGTTTAACAAGAGTGATTCTTGTTAAAAAGCTATTTTCATTTTTGCGCACATCTTTCAAGCTTTACCCAAATTGTGCTACCTTTTAAAAGTCACTCTAATGTCTGTTTCTGAAGACTTGAGGCCAAATAGCACGCCATCCTTCCCTCTTTAATTACAAAACTAATACACATTCTGTGCAAAAATCTTGGCAAATACTGAAAAGCAGAAGGAGAAACAAAACTAAAATCACCTGTAATTCTACCACTTTGACCTATTGGTTTATCTTTCCAGTATTTTTTTAAGTGCATCATACGTTTTAAATATTGTGCTCTGCTTGGACTTCCGTTTACATGTGGCTGATTGAACCTACTTGCTTAACTCAGCTGCTTCTCAGAAATCCACCAAAAAGGAAGTAAAGGGGTTTTAAAAGATAGAAATTCAGTAGGATTGAAGGAGTTTAAAATGAGACAATTGCAAAAAAGAATTTTTAGAAGCTAGAAAAGCAGATGGGCAAATCACATTTGAGTTAGCGGAAACCTCAGCCCAGCAGAGGGGTAACTCAGGACCTAGCACTTCATAACACCACAAAGGCTGAAGAATTGGAAGTGCCAGGTGCCCATGAAAGTGGGGGCATGCATGGATTGGAAACTGGATTGACGGATAGTCTGTATTTCTATATCTAGATAGTCTTCCACACTCTTTCCAGTTAGATAAAGATTGGCTGGTGATTGATTGTCAGTAGAGATTGACTCAGAACACTAAACATAATGAAAAAGTAGAAAGGATGAGGAGAATAAATGAGAGTTTACATCCTGAATAGTGAGACTTCTAGATTTCTACTACACTGATAAAACTGTGACAACTAGGCTTACATACCCCAGACTGAAGGTTGGAGGTTTTGTTTCTAGAGAAAGTGACCAGTCCAAAAAACCCCCTCCAGATGATGATATTTGGGAATCTTCCCAAAGAAGAGAATGGCCCTATCACTCAGAGGTGACAACTAAGTACCTTAGTACTTTACCCTTAATGTGAGCCAGGCTTTTGGAGAAAGTGTCTTAATAAGAAAAAGATTAAAAGAAGCAAAAGGAACTCAACAGAAACAGAAAATTCAGCAATGAATAAAATTATAATTAAAAAAAAATTTTTTTTTTAAAGATTTTATTTATTTATTTGACAGAGAGATAGCGAGAGCAGGAACATAAGCAGGGGGAGTGGGGGAGAGAGAAGCAGGCTTCCTGCCGAGCAGGGAGCCCGATGCGGGGCTTGATCCCAGGACCCTGGGATTACGACCTGAGCCGAAGGCAGACGCTTAATGACTGAGCCACCCAGGCACCCCTATAATAAATATTCTTGATGTGATGAGAGGAGATAGCTCATCTGTGGAACACTGGGCCATAAAAAAGACTATTCAGCCAACAAGAAAGAACCCATGAGTGTTGAAAAAATGTTAGCAGAAACAAAACATTCAGTAGAGGGTTAAAAGATTGAATTGAGGAAATCTAGAAAGTAGGATGAAAAGGTAAAACAAAGGTGAGAAAAGATAAAATTAGTGGGTCATTCTAGAAGGACCAAAATAGATTATAGATAAATGGAGCAGAGGAAGAATATCAAAGCAATAATTCAAACTTAACATGAGTTTTCAGGTTGAAGAGACCTGCTGGCCTGCCCTCTTATGAATGTTAAAAGATCCATGCAAAGGCATATCATCATGAAAGTTTCAATCAGTAAGGATAAAGAGAAGATCCTAAAAACTTCTGAAGTTGGGGAATGGAGGGGAGACATGAGTTAAATACAAAGCATCAACAGAAATGGTATTGACTTCTAGAAATAATACCGGAAGTTAAAAGGTCTTGTAACATGCCTTCATAATTCTGAGAGAGCATGATTTCTGCCATTGAATTCTCTCTCTAATCAAACCATAAATCAAGTGTGCAGGTAATTATTTCCAGACATACAGAATTTCCAGAAATATATCTCTTGTAACTTTTCTCAGGAAGCTGCTGGAGGGTATTCACTACCAAAATGAAAGAAAAAACTAAGAAGATACAGGGTTCAAAATATAGAGAGGATCTAACAACACGGAAGAGAGGCAGAGGGAAGCCCTAGGACTCCCATTTGCGAGGCAGGGCTGAGAGCCATCTAAGACTAGAGGAGGATGATAGAAAGTGTCTCCTAGGAAAAAAAAAATGAAATTGACAGAATAATTGACATGTGAATTGAGAAGAAATTTAAGTTCTTGGGAGAACGTGGAGATGAAGTAGTGATAGTGAATGATATATGTATGAAACAGTTATTAACTCTAAAGGAAAAGGATAGTTGTATAGTAAATGAAATGATAGTTTACTAAACACTCTGGTGTGTCTGAGTCACCTAGTCATAGTAATTTAAAAACTGAATGTAGACTTAACTAGATATTGATAATGGGAGGATAGTGGAAGAGAAAGTATGAATGGAGGATATAGTTTTAAGATCCACATTCTCAGGGGTGCCTGGGTGGCTCAGTTGTTAAGCGTCTGCCTTCGGCTCAGGTCATGATCCCAGGGTCCTCGAGTCAAGCCCCGCATCGGGCTCCCTGCTGTGCAGGAAGCCTGCTTCTCCCTCTCCCACTATCCCTGTTTGTGTTCCCTCTCTTGCTGTGTCTCTCTCTGTCAAATAAATAAATAAAATCTTTAAAAAAAATGAAAGATCCACATTCTCACTCACAGTAGAGGGGGTTCATTGCTTCTTTTCTTTAGGTTTATAAAAATATAAAGTAATCAAAAAATGACCAAAAAGAATGCATGAAAAGTATAACTATAGTGGAGAAACTGATGAACAGTACGTCAGCCAGGTGATCAAGGTTAACATCAGTGAAAAGTCCTGTCTGTATAACTTGCCCTTGACATGATGTGATGAGAATGGTACTTTAGTTTGGTGGACTTCTTCTCCAAACTCCCCAAAATCCATAATCCCAGTCTAACTGAGGGGCATGTTATAAAATATCTGATTAGTATTCCTTAAAACTGTGAAGATCATCAAAAACAAGGAAACTGAGAAACTGTTACTACAGGAGATTCTGAGACTGGAAAAGGACGTTAGTTTAAAAACTAAGGACATCTGAATAAAGTATTCACTTTCAGTTAATAAAGTAGCAGTATTGGTTCATTAGTTGTGACAAATGTGTTGTGCTAGTGTAAGATGTAAATAGGGGAAATTGGGTGTGGGATACATAGGAAGTTTGTACCATCTTGCATTTTTTTCTGTAAATCTGAAACTAAAAGTTTGGTTTTTTTGTTTGTTTCAAGTTTTTATTTAAAATCTAGTCAGTTAACATACAGTGCTTATAGTTTCAGGAGTAGAATTTAGTGATTCATCACTTACATATAATATCTAGTGCTCATCACGAGTGTCCTTAATACCCACCTTCTATCTAGCCCATCCCTGCCCCCCCCCAGCAACCTTCTGAAACTAAAACAGTTTCTTTAAAAAGGTGAATGCTTGTAAAAATAGAGGCAAGAATGGGGGAAAACCGCAGAGTTGAAAGTTACAGCCAATGGAAATGGGGAGAGCAGGACAGGGAACTTCTCTTTCTCCTAAACCTTGTAGAACCATGTTTGACCAATTAAAATGTGTAGAGTATAATTTTGATTAAAATAACCTAAGTTTAATATTATGCCACACAGATTTATAAAAATGAAAGTTTTTTCTATAATTTAGTTAGGTAGTGATTTAAAACTATTGTATGTATGGCATTGGCTGAGGTAAGAAAGTGGTCACCTTTGGCTTTTCATGTGTGGCCAGGGCATAACAACAGATTTGTTGGTCCTATATAGTTAGGTTGATACTAGATTGCCATTTTGGGACTAATAGTTAAGTCCTGGGCCAAGTGACGTAGATAATAATAGACAAGAAATTATAAAGAGGAAATCTATATCTTAAAAAAGAAGGATATTCATGGGTAGGTATATTTAGTTGTTTACTGACTGTATTATTTCTTTTTGACAGATACTGGGTCGTCAGGATGGAGTCCTGCAAGACTGGGTCATTGATGACTGCATTGGTAACTGGTGGAGACCAAATTTTGAACCTCCTCAGGTCAATGCTCATTTCTATTTGCTGAGCATTTGGGGAAGTAGAAAACTACTTTAATTCCAGCCTTTTGAAAAGAGTATAGCAGAATTTGACTTTCTCTCTCATTAGTTTAGATAAAAAATTAAAAAATCAAGCATTTTTTTCTTTTAAAGAAAGATTTCACACATACAAAAGTAGGAATAATAAAAGTACATGAATCCCATTACCTGTCTTCCACCTTCAACAGTTAGCAACTCATGGTCAGACTTCACCTGGCACGCCTTTTCCCCTGCCCTCACCTTGGATTATTTTGGAATGAATCATAGGCATCATGTCAGATGTAAATATTTCAGTACACGTCTCTAAAACATAAGAGTCTCTTTAAATAAAAACAACACAGTATACATTCTCACACTAAGAGTAAGAAATTATTTCATAATAGCATTAAATATGTGTAACTCTGACTAGTTTCAAGTTTTTATTTTGTTCTCTGTTTAAATTAGGATAGTCTTTTAAATCTCTTTTGGCCGGTCAGTTTCCTAGTTCTCTTTTTTTCCTCATAATTTATTTGTTAATGAAAACAAGCTTTTTAAAGTCCTTTGTGTTATCATTGCTGATTGCATTCTGCCAGTTGTCATTGAACTTGTAGTTCTTTCGTTTCTGTCCTATAAACTGGTAGTTAGATCAAGAGCCTGGATTTGGCTGGTGGGCTCACCATATGCAGTATATTATTTATTGCTACATAATAAATTACCCCCAAACCTAGCAGCTTAAGATAGCAGACATTTGTTATCTTAATTTCTCAGGGTCAGGCATCTGGGAGCTGCCTAGCTAGGTGGTTCTGGCTCATGGTCTCTCATGAAGTTATGGTCAGGCTGTTGGCTGGGATTGCATCACCTCAAGGCTGGACTGGGGCTGAAGGATCTGATCCCAGGTTCACAAATGTGTTTGTTAGCAGGCCTCTCTTCCTGCACTGTCGGACTGAAGGCTTCAGTTCCTTGTTGGGTGTTGACCTGAGGCCTCTCTCTATTACCATGAGAGCATCTCTATAGGGTAACTCCCAGTAAGGCAGCTGGTTTCCCCGAGAGCTTGAGATCCAAGGTGGAGGCAGTGACAGAGAGCATGCCCACGTAGAAAGCTGTGGTCCATGTAACCTAATCTTGGCAGTGACATACCGTCACTTCTGCTATATGCTATTGGTCACACAAGTCAACATAGTACATTGTGGGAGGGGACTACCCAGAGGTGTGGATACCAGGAGACAGGAGCCATTGGGGGTCATCTTGGGGAATGGCCCTCACAGACAGTATCATGTGTTTCCATCAAAAGTTTTATAATGTCTGGTTGTCTCTTTTTGTAATGTTAGCAGCTCATAGATAATAATTTCTTGGGTGTATTAATTCATTAAGGTTGTGATCCTTTTATTAAGAGAAACTTCTCCTACCAACTGTTTGGTTACCCTGAGGTATAGTTTGTGTAGGAAAGAATAGATGCTTCTTTGCAGAAGAATGAGTTAATTTATTAGTATCCTTCAAAGACTTTACTCAAAGGAAAGAATAAGAGACTTGGGTACAGATAGTTTGTTTGGGAAGTGATCCCAGAAAGCAGTAGACTGGTAAGACTGATGGGAGAGAGAGAGACCAGAAACAGCAGTAGTCAAAAAAAAGAAGGGTATATAATTGATTTTATTACAACTATGGGCAGCTGGATTGATCCTGCTAAGGACTGTGAGGAACCATGTGGATTGGACCTTAAAATTGTTCCATTAGAAGGATGGAAGGCTGGAGACTCCTACCCCATTGGATGAGGGTTGTATTAACTCCCTTGCACTTTCATGTTGAGTCGGAGCACTGGTTGTGAGATTTTCTGGGGCTTTGGAAATGCTTTGAGGCTGAAAAGCAGAGTGAGACAGTGGCAGCAAGCTGGGAGCTTTCTGGCACTTTCCAACACAGCTGCCCTGAAATCTGAGGTGGGATGAGATCTGAGGTGGGTGGTGGTGAGGTGCACAAAAATCTGGTTCAGTGACCTTTTAAAGTGTCCTATGACCTCATGGATTTAAATACATTCATTGTGTTTTAATCCATTGTAATGATTGATAATGGTACTGAGCTCAAATTTTTTTACCTTTAACTGATGGGAGCCTCTGATCCTGAATCCTGTTGACAAGGCTCTCTGACTTAGATAGCTTCTTTGCATGACAAGATGTTCCAGGTTAAGAATTATACAAAATACCAGCCAAGCAAAAAATGATTGTATCTGTCCTCTTCCTTCTGACTCTCTAGTATAGCTGAGGGATAGGAAGAGAAGGCACTGTGGAAGCTGGTGCTAGTACTCACTACCTGCAAATTGTCTTGGCTTTAAGAAAGTATAATTTCATCTGGAAATAGTGAAGTTCCTGGTCCAAAGGTACATAGAACGATAATTAATGTTTTTTGGTTTCTGAACATTCTTTGACCAAACTGGAAGCTCAGTAATAACACAAAAGTTTTCCAGGCTACTTTCTGAATACTCCCCTTATTCATCTCCCCTACCAAAGTCCTAGGACAGTTCCCTTCATTGACTGAACCCTAGGGTAGGCTCTGCTAGCATGAGATATAACGTAAGTGTTGAGTGTTTATTTAATACACTTTGAGTGTTTATTTAATACACTTGGAGTATTGGTTAGGTGTCAGCGAGAAAAGAGCATGACACCATCTCCCTGTCTTTTTGTATAAAGTGCAGTTGGCTTAAAATAAACTCCCAAGATGAAGACTGGAGAAGAAAGTATTAAAAGAAAAGGAACAAATAGCCACGAGTAGAAGACAATTGGGGTAATGCCAGTCACTTTGGTTCGGTCATGGTGTAGGAGCTTTTGTTGTATGTGAACCACAGGTCTCCTGTAGCCTGTGCTCTTCAAACTACTACTCACTGCTGTGTCTGTCATTGCCACTGTGCCTGGTTTTCATGATTGTGTAGGGCACCTCCAAAGCCTGGGACAGTTGTCTTCATTCATCATACCTTAGGGATGGCTCTGGTGTATCATTATTCTAACTTGAATACTGGGATATCCAATGGGGTAGCATAGTGGGAAATAATAGGCTTTTACCATTAGATAAGGGTTGAATAGATGAGGTTGAATCCTGGTGTCACTACTTAGTTGTGTAGTCTTGGGAAAGACATGTAGCTTCTCAGTGTAAGTTCTTACATAAAATGTGGGTGATGTTTCCTTCTTTTGGCCACCTCTGTTTTATCCTACTGTCCCCTTATATCTGTTTTCAGCATTTTCCAATTCCCCTACTCTCAAATACAACTCCCAAAGCCATATTTTTTGAATATATGTGGGGAGGTACAGGTGAGTTCTCTATCTCTGACTTTTCAAATTCACTATGCCAGAATTCTTTCTGAGCTAGCAACCACCCCTCTCTAATTCTCTTTAGAATCCCTTAAATTCTTCAAAATATTTTCTCCATTTTCACAAGCAACTTGACTCTTTCTAGCTGACAGGACTCCACTGAGACTACTCATCTGGTATTCTGAAGCATGTATCTGGGGTGTGTGTGTGTGTATGTGTATGTGACATTGTTGGGGGAGGAGTGTCTTGTCAAATACCTCACAGGCCATATTTAAACTTCTAATATAGTAAACTTCATTGGGTTGTAAATTTCTCAAGCTGTAAATCTTGTGACTACTTATTTAATTGACTTGAATGGTTGAATGGTTTACTACTCATTATGTTGTATTTATTAAGCATTTATCTATTAGAACATCTGTTAGGTACCACATTCTGGTAAAGGAAAGACTAGAAAGAGTTCTGTTTCTCCCAACAGTTTATGCGTATTGGGAAAGAAGCATATAAAGAAATAAATGAAACCACAGGATACATGTTAAATTGTGTTGGGATTATGAGGAACATGGTCTCTGATACTTGATCTTAATGCCTGAAATGGGAGAAGTTGGTAAATAAAGGCATGGAGGTATGAGGGATGTCTTGGCAAATGCAAATTATTCTCTTTTGTGATTTTAGTACCCATATATTCCTGCACATATTACAAAACCTAAGGAACATAAGAAGTTGTTTTTGGTTCAACTTCAAGAGAAAGGTAAGTTATTTTGTTTTAGAATGCAGCCATCTGAAAACTTTTGTAGAGTAATTTCAAGAATACTTGTGTTTTCTCCAAGTTCCTTGAATTTTTGGATTTATTGTGAAAATAAAAACATATACTTATGTACATACTGAATTAACTACTGTTTTTTTTAAAGATTTTATTTACTTTTTAAAGATTTTATTTATTTATTTGGGAGAGAGTGTGAGGGCGAGCATAAGCAGGGGTGGGCAGAGGGAGAGAGGGAATCTCAGGTGGACTACACACTGAGCGCAGGGGCCTGAGCCAAAATCAAGAGTTAGATGCTTAACCGACTGAGCCACCCAGGCGCCCCAGAATTAACTAGTTCTTTTCATAGATGTGCCAATCATGCTATAGGGGGAAGGTTAACTAGAGCCTAAAATACCAGATTGTAGTATTTTAAAATAGCTGTTTAGCTTCTGGTACTGATATTCACATGATAAACTAAAACTTTTAGGAGACAGAGGAATTAATTTTTTTTTTTTTTTAAGATTTTATTTATTTATATGACAGAGAGACACAGCGAGAGAGGGAACACAAGCAGGGGGAGCGGGAGAGGGAGAAGCAGGCTTCCCACGGAGCAGGGAGCCCGATGCGGGGCTCGATCCCAGGACCCTGGGACCATGACCTGAGCCGAAGGCAGACGCGTAACGACTGAGCCACCCAGGCGCCCCAGAGGAATTAATTTTTTAAATACCACCTTTAGGTGTTTTGTACATTTTAACAAATAATTGTTTCTTGTCATAGTCTTAAAATGGAATTCAAAATAAATTATAAACCTGAAGGCTCTTTTCTTCTCCCCTTGTTCCCAGGGCCAGCACTTACAAGGTGCTCTTGGTTGTTAACACTGTGAACTTTGCTTGAAAGATACAACCAAAGTGTATTAAAGAGGATTATCTTTTTCCGCAAAAGTTTCTCAAATGTAAAACTGGTGATTACTTTATAAATGAATTTTAAGCACTGATTATGTAAGAATTTACAGGAAATGAATACTGTTTTGTTTTATTTTAGCCTTGTTTGCAGTCCCTAAAAATTACAAGCTTGTAGCTGCACCGTTGTTTGAATTATATGATAATGCACCAGGATATGGACCCATCATTTCTAGTCTCCCTCAGCTTCTGAGCAGGTATGGAAAGTTGAATATTTTGTGACTGATTCATCTAAATTGCCAAATTTAAAATACTCTGAGCTGCTTGAGAAGGAATAGTTAACGAAATTTGGTCTTCAAGGAAACTAAGACTGTAGATGGATTTTTAGTTTATGTACAAGCCAGAGGTTAAATATGACTGACTAAAAGTATCCCCAGACTCCCAAGTTGCAGCATGACATTCTGGTATTTGGGTGAGTGCTCTGCCCCACATCTGATATTTTTGTTACTGTTAAGTTTGAAGTCTGCATTCAGAGAAGAGATGGTAAAATGGCAGTTAGCACTATATAATAAAATTGAGGGGAATTATCTATATGAAAATGTGGAGAATTGAATCTCTTGGTGTAATATGTTCTCTTTCCTCTTTGAAATGTGCTATATTTAGGTCTACTGGGATATATGGGATTAAGTCCTGAATTTTTATGTACATGGAGTTTGGTTTTTTGTTTTTGTTTTTTTGTTGTTGTTGTTGGCTGATAGAGGTATAAGAAATGCATTTAAAAAAAAGTTGACTTGTACTGGTTGAGGTCCTTAGAGTCTTATATAGATAGGAGTCACAGAACAATGTGGTGGCTAAGAATATAGATGCTGTGGGCAGTGTTTGGATTTGAATTCCACCCTTTTTTTTTTTTTTAATTCCACCTTTAATAACTTTCTGGCAGTGTGACCTTGGACAAATGATTATGCCTATTTGCTTATTTAATCTTCACCTGTAAATCAGCGTGGTAGTCCCCACTTCATAGAATTGTGGAGAGCAAGTGAAAAAAATGCATATAAAGTGCTTAGAACAGTGCCAGGCACCTGGTAAATGCCTAATAGATGTTAGTTCAAAAACAGTTCCAATAGTGATTTTGGCCTTCTGTGAAAGCTTGTTGAGTATGAAATTGGTTCTTTCCATTTTGTTAACTTATCAAACTTTATCTTTTGCTCCTCTTCTTTGGTCTGCTGATGGGTTAAAAGTTGAAGTATGAGATACGTAAAAGAGTCATATAATTCATTTATTTGAACACCGCTTATCAGGTATCAGGAACTGTGCTGAGTGGCATAATACAATGAGGTATAAAAATTTTCCTTCTCTCAAGGAACTTGTTGGTGGATAATTAATCAAATGTATACTCTTAATTTTTTTTTAATTGTAAGTATTCAACAAAACTGTTATTTAATGTGTAAGATGATCCAGGTGAGAGAAAAGGATGTTTTGGTGTGAGAAAATGCCAGAAATGTCAAGGGAGGGTAGAAATGTCCAAATTTCTTTACCATCTAAGATAAAAAATACTTTGTAAATAATGCTGTTTTTAATAAAGATATTGTTCTTTCTAAAATTCAGGTTCAATTTTATATACAACTGAATTCCTGCACAGTGGAGAAGTAAAAGAAGCCGTCTCTGTGAGCACAGCTATACACAGTGTAGAATAAACATGGTAGAAAAGTTTTTTTCGTTTTTATCTCTTTCCCAGTCCCTAAATTGCTACCTACTTTCTGTTGTTTGAATAGTAAAGTTAATATGAAGAACTCGATAGTGGTGTAAACAAATGTGATAATGTTTAATTTACTTTTGGTTCTACTCATACTTTTTTGTACAACATTAAAGAATATGAACTTCTTTCTATTTGTATTTTTTCTTTAATTTTCACATTAAACTTGTAAAATTCTTACAGGTGAGAACTGTTTTTTTCCCCCTGCTCCTAGGCTGATGATGTTAAAAGACAATGGCAGGTTTAGGTCAGTTGAGTATATGGGACCCTTGTTTGGATGCCATTTTGGGGGATATACTCCAAGACTGTGTTCTAGATTTTTGTGATGAGGAACTTCTGTTTCTTTTGGGAACTAGATTTGCTTGGTGGAGTCCCAAGGTGCAACTCCTGAACCAAATAATACACTTTGAGTTGTTCTACAGCAGAGCTCCCAGTATATTACTAACTGGTACATTTCATACTGATTTTTTCAGACCTTTGTTCACAAGCAACAGACCTTAAACATATGGGAAGCCATTAAAATTGGCTAGATTAGGGAAACTCATGGGAATTGGTATAAAAAGAGACCTTTTTGAGAGCTGACTGAGACTTTTTTCCTTCATATAATAGGGGTGTTAATTATTTGTGTTGCTGTGAAATTATGTGGTTTAGTTATTCTTAGGGCCATGGTAAAATGGTGATCTGTGAAGGAAGTTTTTAAAAGTGGGTCTGTTAGGTTTTGAACACTTGGATTACCAAGTTAGTTATTTCAGTTTATATCCATAGAAATGAAAATTTGGTTTTAGCAAGTGACAAGCCTTTTCAAAAATATTTTGGGATAATTTGAATCAACTGAAATCTAAAGACAGGATAGGGGATAGATTTTGTCAGCCTGTGGGAAAAATGCCAAATTTTAAAGTTCTTTAAAATAACACTGCTAAATTAGGATCAGGTTTTGGGGGAAATAAAAAATTATTCTTAGGGCAAAGGAGTGTGCTGGCTGTGTCATTGCATAATGGTCCAAGTATGTTGTGCATGCCTTAAAACAAGTGTGTTGACTATAGGCTTAATGAAAAGGAGATCTTGTAAGATGCAGCTACTTAAAGAAGAGAGATTGCTGTAGTTTTTAAGAGAGAGACAGAAGTGAACTTTTGATTAGTTCTTACATCTTTATGATAAGATCACAGGCCTTGTCTCCTAAATATTGGGTGAGTTGAAAGGTATATTGTAAATTCTTCCCTATTTAGACTTGAAAAAATCAGACCAAGAACATCTCTATCAATAAAGGTTCAAGTTTATTTAGCTGAGGTCCCATCAAGCCTTCACAAGGTTGTGTCAAGTAGTGATTGTGATCATGCTCATGCTGAGTAGTAGGTTAGCAACAGGCTGTAGGACCAAAAATAATTCTTAATTTCCTTAAAAGCCACTAATTCTGTGGATAGTCCTCTTCCCTCAAGAGCTAATAGTCCTGCCCCTGTGATTTACATTAGCATATTTATAACTTACTATAATTTTACTGGTGAGTTCACTGATTAGCTGAGCCTTATCAAGATTGGGGAAGGCAGAGATGGAAACAGCTTGATCCAGCTCACCTTCTATGGTTGCTTCTGGCATCCAAGTGAAAGGCTATAGTAACCACATTTCAGATGTGCTAGCGCTTGCCACTTGGGGAGGGTGGAAAGAAGTGGACTTTTTCTTGGTGTTATTATAAAATGCTGTATAAGTTGAAGAGATCTGATTCGAAGCTACTCATGTCCTTTGTAACATAAGCTTTGACCTAGAAAGTCTTTCTTGATCATTACTTTGCAGTATAAGTGCTTGAGTCAGTCATCTATATGTTGGGGCCTGGGTGAGAAAAACCTTTGATTTAAGCTGGCTGGGTTACTAACCTTAGAACCTAAAAAGATCTGGTTTTGAATGTAAAATTGGCAACACACAAACACAGATTTTTTAAACTTTGAACTTCTCAGCTATAGTTGTATCTTAATACTCATGTTTTAGGTTTCCTGATAGAAATAATAAAACTAGAGAAATTTATATCTCATATATTCCTACATTAGAAAAGGGTACAAGGGAATGTTTGACACTAAGCTCTTTTGATGTAAATTCTTAACATACCAAGAACTGACAGTCTTAAATTGTGCATTCCAATTCTCTACATATTAAATACTGAATAATTTTAAAATGAGCTCTTGATGGACTGATTTGTATTTTTGAATGCCTCCTACGTTCCAGGTTTGTTTATAAATGAGAGTCCTCTTTTGCATTGTATAAGTACAATATATGTCATGTTATTTTCCCTGAGTAATTCAAGTAGCGCATATTCTATATAAATCTAAATGGCACCGGAAAATATTTAGTAGGTTGGGGGATAAACTAAAAGTTTTACTCAAATGTTTTCAGTCATATTTAGAATTGACATCCCTTTGAAGAAAAGTGAAATTTATTTTTTTTCCTGAGGACAACTATTATGATTTTTTAGTAAGTAGATAATACTTAAAATGGCATTGTGATAATTCTGTTTATGAATTTATACTTTTAACAGCAGATCAGGGAGAGTTGTTATTTTTTATCATTGTCTTAGCTTATTATGGTTCAGTTATTATTTTATTTACAGGTTCCATTAAATTAGCATTTATTGGCATATAAAACATAGCCAAATTAGCCAATTTGTTTTATTCCATGCTTAATAAAAGTGAGAGGTAGAGGTCCTCTAAATTCAACAGGCCAGCAAGCAAGCAACTTAAAATTTCTTTTCTTAAATGATGTGACTCTTAAGCTCTCAGGTTTTTAATGACTGTGTTTTTTAAGTACTTGTTCAGTCACTTGAGATGAAATGCTTGGAGTAGCTTTTCCACGTCAGAGTTTCTCAAACTTAATGTTTTTACTGTTTCATAGTGTTCGGGACAGTACGTGCCGTTCACTAAGACTGCTTCAGAGGGTGTGTGGTTTTGTATGTTGCTTCGCCAGAGAAGCCTTAGTGGTTTTTGACTGTACTACAAGTCTGCTTCTGTAGCAAAGGTTTGATATCCTATAATTATTCTACTTGTTTTGCATCACTTATTATTTGGGTTAAACTGGACTCATTTCAAGTAGTTTGCCTTTGTTGTTCAGATGTGATGAGGAACATAATACTATGATTTGAGCCATAAAACACATTTTAATATTAGCTCGTATTTATCAGGCTTGTTTTTGTGGGAAAACAAAAAAACTGACTAAAACCTAAGTGAGTCTTAATGAAGCCAGTTTAGGTGTAATTTCTATCTTAGTGATGGATTGTACCATAGGACTAGAGAAGAATTGGGAAAATGTATTATGTTATCTGTTGAGGGAAAGATCAGTGCATTTACAAACTTAAAACTTGGTTACTGTGTTTACATCATAGTGTACTAGCATCATTTATGGTTTGGCTTTGAGAATTTTTATGGCATTACACTTAAAGAAAATGTATAAAAGAAACTGAAGTTTTGGTTATATTTTTATATTTGTAAAGTAAAAGTTTGATTGCAATGGTCACTGTTCTTTTTAAATTTTATTTTGTTGTTCATTTCAATTAAAAAAATAAAACAGAATGACTCTGCTTGTGTGTGGCTACTAACCTTAGTGTGCCAGTAGAAATCCTGAACAGTTCTTTTCCATTGTTGTTGGCCAAGGGCCATTAGGTAAGAGACAGCTTGACAGAATAGCAAGGGTCTGAAGAACTGGGACATTGATGTTGCCCTCTCTGGCGCTCCCCCATTGTGTGTTAACCGTGATCTTAGGCAGATCTAGTTTCCTGCATTGTGAAGTTCCAAATCCCTGGATTTGGAACCTGAAGATTGGGATTTAGAAGTTGTCACACAATTTTGCTGTGTTGTATCATTGGGGGCCTCAGTTTCCTCATCTATAAATCTCTGTGTTGGTTCCTTTAGGCTTTTTTTTTTTCCTCAAACTTGTCTGGAAGTCATGTTCTGTGACACTGTGCTTGCTGCTTATGTAATACTGTGTAATATAATTTAAGCATCTTAAATAGAAACCGTGTACCCAAAAGATGAGAACACCTGTGTCATAAGATCACAGCCTTAAGGTTTTATATCTGAACAAAAGTTGAACAAAACCTGATAAAGTTATTATAAAGTTTCTATGAAATTTTTACTGCTTGTATATTGCAGGTACCAAAAAGCTATGAAAAGTTATGAAAGGAAAGCTAAAAATTGAAGTATACCCATTAACTTACTTTTTCCCCCTGCAACTTGAGTTGGTTATTGTTTCCCCCTCTGCTAGATTTAGTAGTGGAACACACTGGTCCAGCTAATGAAACACCAGAGTTCTGTGGGAGTACACTTAAGGTTATTGGTTAGATAAGGTAGTTCAGTTTCTAGGATGTTGAGAATCTTCCAACAACAACAAAACTACTCAGCCTTTCCCAAAGAATGATGAAAATCAAATGAAGTCATAAATATGAAAGGATTTCAGATATTTAAAAAGTAAATAACAGTAAAGTATCTAGGTGTGATTCTTAATCTGCATAAGCTGGTTTGTCTGAATTGATAATTTTTAAAAATTTCCTTTAAATCAAGCCAAGTCAGAGCCACCATCCTATAAAGACGACAGAAATTTCAGTCTCTCAGTCATTATTGGGAGACTGTGGGGCCAACTCAAAGTCTCTAAGGAATCCAGAAAGCATAAGTGGTATTCTGAAATGAGGGTGGGAGTGCAGAGAGCTCTAGCTTCAAGATACTTTTCTTGTCTAAGCTGGACGGGCCCCTTAAGGTTTGGTGTGGGTGCCCTCCTGCCACACTGGGCCTTAGGACTCAACTGAGAAAGGTCGTCCCTATACCTATGTCTAGCCTTCCTGGGCACACTTAAGTGTTCATTCCTCTGTGTCTTGCCTCCTCCCTGGGTCCTCTCATGGAGTAGGATACAGTGCAAAGAACCAGAAACACGAATTGATTTGAGAAGGTGGGTTTTGACCATGCTAAAAAAAAAAAAATCCTTCAGAGGGGTGCCTGGGTGGCTCAGTCGGTTAAGCATCCAACTCTTGATCTTAGCTCAGGCCTCAAGCTCAGGGTTGTGAGTTCAAGCCCCTTGTTGGGCTCCATGCTGGGTGTAGAGCCTACTTTAAAAAGTGTGTGTGTAAGTAACACGTGCCCCCCCTCCCAGCCAAATTGTTCGGTTCCATCACAGGCTTTTGAATAGGATGTTTCTAAAAATTCGAAAGTGGATGGTAATAATTCTGAGAGGTCTTTGTTTTCTAATTAGTAGAGTTTTAGAATTAAAATATTAGGCATTAAAGAGACTCAAAAATGGTTTAGTCCTTTTCTTTTGAAAATTTGTAAGATTCAACAAATACTGAGCACCTACTCTGGAGCAGGCAGAATTCTAGGCCTTGGAGCTACAGTGAGGAATAAGACCCCCAAGCTCACACATTTTCTTTTTTGTCACAGCTTTATGAAAGTGTACAATGAAACGATTGTTAGTATATTCAGAGTCGCGGAGCCGACAACAAAATTAAAAAAAAAATTCAATATTTTGTTTTTATCCCCCAGTTCCCTCATCCCTGCCCCTCCCCCCCCAGCAACCATTATTTTGCTTTCTGGGTCTGTATATGTATTTGCCCATTCTGGATATTTCATATAAATGGAACCACAACGTGTGGCCTTTTGTGTCTAGCTGCTTTCACCTAGCAAGTTCAAGATTCCTCCATGTTGTAGCATGTGTCAGTACTTCTTCATTCATTTTCACGGCTGAGTAACAGTCCATTGTACGGATTATACCTTACTTATCCATCCATCACTTGAGGGACATTAGCTTGTTTCCACCCTTGGCTATTTATTATGAATAATGCTGTTACCAAAGTTTGTGTACAAATTTGGTTTTGAGCTCCGTTTTCATTTTTCTTGGGTATATATGCCTAGGAGTGGAATCGCTAGGTCAAATGGTTACCCGTGTGTTTAACTTTTTGAGGAACTTTCAAAGAAGCTGCACTGTTTTATATCCCTACCTGGTGTATGAGGGAACACATTTTCATTTCCCGCTAAATCAAGTCCATTCTAGACTCTGCTCCAGGCTACTAGTACACAACAGAAACTTAAGATAACCTTACTGGCGAGAAAAAAGACTGTTGATGATATTCTTCCTTTGAGGGTCCTCTATTGCTCCCTAAGCAGCATCCCTTTGGACCACCGGGGAAGCTGCTAGGCCCACAGGCGTGCTCAGGGGTAGTAACCTGCTTAAGCGGGAGGGGGTGGGTGGGTTAAGGAAACCAAGGGCCGAGTGTCCGGGTCCCCGCGACCTGCGGACCCGCCACACTGCCTGGGCTCGACCGCCCGCCAGCGCCGTCGGGCCAGAGTGACGCTTCTGCTCGACCGGCCGCGGCCGCGGGCCCCGCCGAGCTGGGCTGTCGGCGGACGGTCATGCTGGGTGCCGGGCCCCAGAGCCTGCGGCCCGGGCCCTCGCCCGCCAGGCGGCGGCGCGACTGCCGGGGGCGGGGGACGGAGGCCGCGCCCCCGCGCCCATCCCGCCCGCGCCCCGCGGAGGGCGGCGGCCCGCCCCGAGCACGCCGAGGCTCTTCCGCGCCGGCAGGGGCAGCAGCGGGAGCGGCGCGGGGCGGAGCGGCGCCAGC